ATTTGGATATCTAATTAAATATCCATGTTCTGTCAAAGCTTTACATAACTACATTTTCAGCTGTCTTTCCTCTTGAAATCAAGTATTTCTGTATGACTGACAAAAATTAAGGATTCACTGCTCACAAGGTGGCTTCTTTATTAAGTCTCCATGGCTTCATCATAGACACAAAATGAATAAGCACACAGTTCAAACCGGAGTCAGTTAGGGTTACATAAAATTTTAAAGTTGGATAACTTTGCATGAATACGTATATAAGTCTCAAGAAACCCATTTTTCTCAACAACAAAAAAAAACAGCTAAAAATATATTCAGCCTTGATTGTACACAGCAAGATTTATTATTTACAGTGATATAATTAATAATGCTCCTGAGTGACATACTTAGTGACGGACTAAATAACAATGCTTCAACCTGCCCAGCATCAAAAACAATCTATACACAGGGTCCGAAATTAAATTTTTTACTCACCGGCCAAGTTGGCCGGTAGATGATGAAAATCTACCGGCCAAGCATATCTTTTACCGGCCAAAATTCTAAATGATTTAGATCTACCTAAAGCATGTAATTCTATATTATGTTGATTCCAAACAGAGTGACAAAATAATTAAAGCATCAATTAATAAGGAAAACAACTCTTTTGTCATTTTTACTATTTATTTATTTTTAGAGATGTTTTTATGAACTCTTTCATTGAAATCTAGTCAGACTCCTTGTTTTCTCTGTCCATGAAGTCTGGCCTCCTGCTTCTGACACCGTCTTTGTGCCAAAGCATTACAGCCTCATTTGGGTCATAGTCCTTGATCTCTGGAGAACACAGCCGCACCATGAGAATATCTGAAAGTGTGTTGGGGCTAGGGTTGTCACGGTAACCGGTGTAGCGGTAAACCCCAGTAAAAAAGTTGACAATAATAATAACCGTCTTGTTTTTAAAAAATATATATTATCTCGGTGGATTACCGTGGCTGCGGTGTAGGTGCTGTGACCCTTACCAGCCACCGTATCATCTGCTGAAGTTGCCGGCGGCACATGCACACTTTGTTGTTTATGACCAAAACTTTCTTTAAGCTAAAGCTGAAATAATGGCCAAAGGAGGAGACGGCAGCACTCAGGACATTTATTATCCCTCAAAGAAGTACGGGCATTTTTTGCATATTTGAAGAATGCCGAGGGACAGTTGTCTGTGAAAGGCAGCAACGCTACGTGGCCATCATAATGTAGCCATCGTCTCACGACTCCGCCATCTCCAGTTCGCCACTTTTCACAAAGTCTTCTGGTTGCCACTGGTCCTGGTGGTTTTCTTCCAGTTCGACGAGTTTTCTTTTGGAAGGCTGGCTGACTCCAGTTAAAAACCGCCACATTTCACCGCTAGTTTTAACACGAAGCTAACTGCTAACTTGATAAACTGATTGAATGGGATAGGTGGAAATGACGTTGGATACGGCGTTCACGTTTCGCGTATGTTTGTGTACGTTGCATGCAGGCGGGAGGAGTATCAGAAATCCATGGAAGATGACTGATAAACATAACTAGTTTGGTGCAAACATTTACTCGCCAGGTGGCAGGTAGAGCTCAAAAATTTACTCGCCAAATGGAGCAATTTGCTCGCATTTGGCGAGTGTTAATTTCGGACCCTGTCTATACATGTTTACTGATTGATATATATAATTATCATTATGAGGAAAAACAATGTGTTTATCACCAAAAATTGCCTTTTTACATTCCTTTGTATTAGTACTGATAGAGAAGAGAGCTTTAAGTGATTCCCACAGACCCCCGTAAATGAGGCTGCTAGCTAACATGTTACATTGCTCACCTTCTTGAGGTTCACTGGGTTGTGAGGGGACACCTGCTGACATATCATCAGCAGCTGATTCTGGTAGGGACAAGAACAACAACCCATTTACCATAATTAGATGAAACATAGTTCCTCTCACTGTGGATATCAGAGATAGCAAACAGGTTGAATTTAACCACTCACTAACTAAACCCACCTTTCTTTGAGAAAAACTGTGTGACATACTGATGCCCTCTCTTCTGCCTGTCCTTTCTCCTTTCTTTCTTTCCTTTTCTGTGACCCAGACTTTGTTTTTGCAGACATGCAGCCTTGGCGCACTCTGCTGTCTGACTGCAGCATGAGCTAGCCTGGCCTGCTACGCACCCCTCAGCCAGGTGGACTGTACCATTTTATGCCATTAGGAAGGGGGTGGGTGGGTGGGGGTTCAAATTAATTAGTCAAAATAAAGTAGGGACCTCTGAATAAATACACATTTCATAAAGACTAAAAGATTGTTTGTTTAATGTCTTAAATGAGAAAAAATACTGCAAAGTAAAGTACTTGTGATTTTTAACCTTTATTTATTTTTTATTCAACTTTGAAACTTGTGGGCCTCTGATAGCTGTGGGCCCTCAGAATCTTCCTAATCTTTCACCGTTTTACAGCGCCCCTCTGTTGATGATGAAAGATTTGAGCATGATAAGTGAACACGACTAAATAATACTATAACAACCATGATTTTAATATTGCACTAGTCCTCCAACAGTACTTTTTACTCCTTATTTATGTCCACTGTTTTTATATTAGAGATCAGATGAAGTTCAGCAGGAACCAGCTGAGGGTGAGACAGGGAGAGCCAGACCAGCTGAGAGTGAGACAGGTAGAGCCAGACCTGCTGAGGGTGAGACAGGGAGAGCCAGACCTGCTGAGGGTGAGACAGGCAGAGCCAGACCAGCTGAGAGTGAGACAGGGAGAGCCATACCTGCTGAGGGTGAGACAGACCAGCTGAGGGTGAGACAGGCAGAGCCAGACCTGCTGAGGGTGAGACAGGGAGAGCCATACCTGCTGAGGGTGAGACAGACCAGCTGAGGGTGAGACAGGGAGAGCCAGACCAGCTGAGGGTGAGACAGGAAGAGCCAGACCTGCTGAGGGTGAGACAGGGAGAGCCATACCTGCTGAGGGTGAGACAGACCAGCTGAGGGTGAGACAGGGAGAGCCACACCAGCTGAGGGTGAGACAGGGAGAGCCAGACCTGCTGAGGGTGAGACAGGGAGAGCCACACCAGCTGAGGGTGAGACAGGGAGAGCCAGACCTGCTGAGGGTGAGACAGGGAGAGCCACACCAGCTGAGGGTGAGACAGGGAGAGCCACACCAGCTGAGGGTGAGACAGGGAGAGCCAGACCTGCTGAGGGTGAGACAGGGAGAGCCACACCAGCTGAGGGTGAGACAGGGAGAGCCAGACCTGCTGAGGGTGAGACAGGGAGAGCCAGACCTGCTGAGGGTGAGACAGGGAGAGCCAGACCTGCTGAGGTGCTACAGTGAAGAGTGAGATGATTTTAGGTTGCTGATGAGAGGAAGACTTGAATGTGATAATAAGTGAACACAGTTGAATGTATTCCCAACAAGTAGAGCTTGGCAGTACGCCTTAAGAATAAAATAAATGCTTCCTTAGAAGTATTAGAAAAAAGAGTTAAACTCTGCATTCTGGAGCATTTAGACTGCAATTTTGGTCACTGTTTTTTCTTTTGTCCATCTGAAAATTAATGTAGTTCCAGCTGTTGTTGTAAGTGAATTATTTCTTTTTTCATTCTGTCAGAAGCAAACAGATTTTTCTGATTGTTGGTCAGCATTGTTGGCTGATGTAGTTTAAAATATTCTGATGAGAGTCAGATCAATTCAGACTGAATATTTACAGCTTTAGTCTTGTATTAAATCTGTTTACACATCTCTACCCATAGGAATAAGATAATATATCCTACATTCATACTATTAAATAAAAATAAAACAGTACTGACACACAAACAGCGTTTTTATCATTAAAACGTCCACGTTGGCCGATAATCACCTGATCTAGCTAATGGGGAACCCAAGTCTCCTCCCCTTCTGGCTTGCTCATGGGTCCCCGATCAAAAAAAACTGAATGTTAGTGAACTGGGCTATAAAAGTTATTTTCTTGTCTTTCTGGGCTTTGCCTTACGCCCTGAGTCACATCAGTCAGACTTTTCTAATCCTAGAGTTTCACCGTCTATTAGATTTTCTGTCAGAAGCTAATGCAGGAGATAGCGGTAGGAGACTATGTTCATGTTCAGCCTGCATGAAACACTGTAAGTGACACGTTAGAATCAGAAATGATCATTAAATGTATTTTTTTCAGTGAGGTTGACCTATATATTGACCTACAACAGATTTGTTACATTTCCAAAATGTGTCCCCCCCAATATTAAAGTCGTTTCTACGCCCTTGACCTGTTTGTTTAATGAAACCAGAGTATGTTTTCTACCTACATTTCTAAACAAAGTTTAATCTGACCCCAAACCTTGTCCTAACCCTAAGGCCCATAAACATCTGTCAATTAGAGGTCACTGTCCATAAAAGGGTAGAAACCTGAATCCACTGTCTCCCGGTCTGCAGCCATAAACTATTGTTCTGGCCGGCCAACAGAGATAAAAACATGCGCATGCGCACACACACACCTGTACATACATAAATAATATAAAAAAAAGATTTGTCCTTAAGAAATTTCCCCAACTCTGCATCAGTCCTGGTGGGCCAGCATCTAGCACGTTTTAGTTGTTTCTCCACAAAAACACTTGATTCAGTGGTTGAATGACCTGTGCAGCAGCTCATCAAGCTCTGCAGAAGCCTAATTATCAGTTTATTGAGATCAGATGTGTTGAAATTGGGTATACTGGTCCTCCAGGACCAGGACCGAGAACCACTGGTCTAGGTACTAATGCAAACACACTACGACTGACATCTGTAGGAAGGATGATGTCTAACGCTATTGGTTAACAAAATGTGGTCAGTTCAAAATGCATGGGGCTCTACTGGAAGAGGGGTGGGCTTAGCAGAAAAACTTACATATCTACTAAATTATATCACAGAACAGGGTAAGAATTCCACTTCTGTGGATTTCTAAAAATTCCTACATAATTCCTGAGTGGAGGAAAACTCCAGATTGTTCATTTAAAAATCAGACAAAGAAAATTCCAAGAAAGCAATGTAGTTTTAAATTGTAAAACTTTATTCAGTAGATTCAATAATAAGTAGGCAAATTGGTAAAGTTGTAAAAAGCCGGACTAATCAAAAGAGGAAAAACGGAAGAAAAAAAGAATGATATTGTTTACATCTTTACAGCACGATCTCCTACACCTCTATCCTTGTTTATTCTCGGTCCTTTGTATTAAACTCGGTTCCATGTCTGTTGTTGTTAAAGGTTAAGTAGACAAGCGGGGAGTGGTCTCGTGGGGCCAAGCGCTCACGCTAGCCTTTAGGTTACCATGGTTACCATGGTGGTGACATCGGTTGTGGGTTTTGAAGGTAGGACATCACAACTGCTGAGATGGACAACCTGAAAAAAATAAAGACAGTAATTTGTTAATTGGGAAAAATTATTTTCAGATCAAAGTCAAGGTTAAATATTTAGGATTTATTTATTTATTTTTATGTACTTTTTTTGTTATTCTGGTTCAGAATTTCTTCAGAAAAGAACATTAAAATAAATATTTCATAAAGACCACTTTTGAACGACATCATTTGAAACAGAATGAAAGTTTATCATAACTTTGAAATGTTCTTGTTTACATTGTTACGGTCACTGGTGCTAAATGCAGCAGATTTTTACTTTTCCCAAAGAAAATTTTCATGGTTGAACTCAAAAGTCCTTGTCTCATAAAAATAACATTTGGCTAAGATCAGTTTCTGTTTCAAGAACTCTGCACTACAAATCAAAGCACATTCAGAACTTGAAAAGAGAATAAACACATTTTCACAAAATTTAAAGCCTCCGCAGGAAGAACCCTGTACAAGCAGTTCATCCAAATATGGAGGCAGATTCTTTTGGTGACCAACTTCTCTCCATGTTCATCCTGCAGACCTTTGTCTAGTCACACCAGGGACACTTATGGGCCATTCCCATCTGTACCGGGTCGGCCCGGGCCGGGTAACGTAGGTTGTTTACATATCTGGGTGGCCTGGTATTTTTACGGGCCAACCAGGGCTCATTCTCAGCCCTCTTCTCGAGGGGGTCTGCTTCAGGCCGACCAGGGCCAACACACCCACTGCTGACAGCAAATTCACACCTTCCATTAGAGCAAGCCTCTGATTGGTGGGTAGAATCAGCCCACATGGGCTTAAGACAAGGATGTGTGGAATCAACCGGGCCAGGCTGGGGCCGACTGGGGCTACCCGGCCCGGGCCGACCCGGTACAGATGGGAATGGCCCATTACATCTTGGCTTTCCAACATCCCAAAACTGGTCTTGAACCTGCTTCAACACACAGAAGTTCCTTCGCTGACGGAAGTTGCTAACCCAAACAGGTTTTGTCAGCACTGCAGCCAATGAGCAGCAACCAGAGGGAACCCGCACATGAACCGGATCTTACCTTTCTGTGTAAAGAGCTGAAATAGCGCTCATTTAAATAGAAAATGTGTCCTCTAGAGTGGACAGTGAGCAGCTAGAAATACACTTTTGGACCACTTTGTCCACATTTAACCTAGCCTTTTTTCTTAAATCTGAATTTGATCTAAATGTATTTGTATATTTTAAATATGCTATCATGTTGATTTTGCTGTTCTTTCTCCTGGAAAGCACACCGAATTGCCTCTTGTATAAAATGTGCTATACAAATGAAGCTGCCTACTTATTTATTTTCCAACACACATCGAGTTGAGTACTTACATAAAGCTGCTCATCATCTGTTTGGTGTCCTCTGAACTTCTTGAGTTTGCAAAGCTGATGAAAGAGCAGTAGACCGCGATCCAGGCACACCACTTCAGCTGAAACACAAACACACAGATCGGTTTGTGGGAATCCAGGCTGCTTCAGTCCAGGTTCCAGAAAAACTAAATCCAAATGAACGATGGAGCTTTAAGTGTCTAAATATTTTGAGATAGACATAAAAACACAGATTTTTAATTTTTTTTACTTTACACATCATTAAACTTGATTTTCTCTTCAGATTTTCTAAATAAATTGTGAAAATTTCAGAACATTTAAAAACAAAGCTTAAGAAAGTTTACCTAGGTTGGTTTAATGAGAAGACATGCTGATAAAAGCATATTTCTACCACTGACACAAGTGCCAAAGTGTGCTGGTGTGTCTTTTTTGTTTGACCTTTCTACTGAAAGTCAGCAGCTGTCCTTCATCCCTTTAAAAGGTGAGTTTACCTTTAATCTTCTAAATGGAATAACTGGGTTGGGGACACACACACACACACACACAGAGGACAGTGTTGTTCGAGGATAATGTAAAGATGTGCTCATATTTCACCTTGAGCATCAGTCCACACATACTGAAGATCATGCCAAGCAGGTTCATGTAGTCGGGAGTTGGGTCCTCCAGTGTGGGATTGGTCTCTGTGCTGGGGGGCTTGTACCTGTGACAACATTTATATGAATAAAATAGGAGAGACAGCAGGAGCGATTTGTGGCAGCGGCAGCACGAGTGGCACTTGCAGCGGCAGCTCTGATACTTCCGGGTGGTGCCACGGCTTTTAGTGGCACCCGCGGCTTTTAGTGGCACTAGCCACGCCCCCTACCACTGCTGCCATTACACTTCCGGGTGGTGCCACGACTTTTAGTGGCACTAGCCACGCCCCTACCACTGCTGCTCTTGCCTGTTAGTGGCACTAGCCACGCCCCCTACCACTGCTGCCATTACACTTCCGACTTTTAGTGGCACTAGCCACGCCCCCTACCACGACTTTTAGTGGCACTAGCCACGCCTCCTACCACTGCTGCCACGGTACCTGCGGCTGTAGTAGTGACCTCAGTAATTGCAGCACTTATTGCATCATCGGCCTCATCATGCCAGCGTTTTTATTTTTTACTTTATTAACAAAATCAAAACAAACAAGGCTGTCACCGAAAATATTTGAAATATTTCAAGCGGTTTACAAATGCGTTTCCCAGTCACTTCATGCATATACAGTGTAATGCAATCAGAAGCGTTAATGCATTTATTTTTTCCATCATTTTTGTTGCTCCCCCAGACGAATCCGTGACAGATCTAGTGGAAGATCCACAGACACTTCCGGGTGGAAGACCGGCGGTGGGTCACCGGCCTCCGGTACAGAGTCAGGAAAAGCAGGGGAGCACCAGAGCCAGATGGAGAGCGCCAGAGCAGTTCTCAATTTCTGAAATAATTTATGACAACTGCTACCAATGTGGATTGTGGAATAAAAAGAGATAAACTGTTAGTTTTCTCAATATTGTCATTGCAATCGGGACAGATACCGCCATCTGCCGGCTTAAAATGGTATTGCAGTACATTTTAAACAACTTGGGAGTGAAAAGGCTGTTTTGTCACTACAACGGATTTGGGGATGTAGTTTATTGTTAATAGATATTGTGGTTTCACAACAATAAAGTTTTGTATTGTGCATATGGATTTATGAGTAGTACGAAACAATGTCTGAGTTTCTTGTTCTTTAAATTACAGTCCAATTAATCATACATGTTTGAAATATAATGCTGAAATATTAACCTCTGAACAATTTTTGTTTGTTGATTATATTTCATTTTTAATTTATTATTATTTTGCATCATGATTTATTTTATGGTGTAGTGTCATGTGGTAATTGTTGCAAATTCTAAATGTAATTTTTATTTTCCTCAACTGAGGTCATTTTTATTTGCTTTATTCTTCAGTACGTTGAATGTAGGTTACATTGTAAACTGAATGTATGTGAAAACGAAGATTGAAATAGTTTTAAAAAAGTTTAAAATGTACTGCAATAACCATTTTAAGCCGGCAGATGGCGGTATCTGCCCCGATTGCAATGACAATATTGAGAAAACTAACAGTTTATCTCTTTTTATTCCACAATCCACATTGGTAGCAGTTGTCATAAATTATTTCAGAAATTGAGAACTGCTCTGGCGCTCTCCATCTAGCTCTGGTGCTCCCCTGCTTTTCCTGACTCTGTACCGGAGGCCGGTGACCCACCGCCGGTCTTCCACCCGGAAGTGTCTGTGGATCTTCCACTAGATCTGTCACGGATTCGTCTGGGGGAGCAACAAAAATGATGGAAAAAATAAATGCATTAACGCTTCTGATTGCATTACACTGTATATGCATGAAGTGACTGGGAAACGCATTTGTAAACCGCTTGAAATATTTCAAATATTTTCGGTGACAGCCTTGTTTGTTTTGATTTTGTTAATAAAGTAAAAAATAAAAACGTTGGCATGATGAGGCCGATGATGCAATAAGTGCTGCAATTACTGAGGTCACTACTACAGCCGCAGGTACCGTGGCAGCAGTGGTAGGAGGCGTGGCTAGTGCCACTAAAAGTCGTGGTAGGGGGCGTGGCTAGTGCCACTAAAAGTCGGAAGTGTAATGGCAGCAGTGGTAGGGGGCGTGGCTAGTGCCACTAAAAGTCAAGAGCAGCAGTGGTAGGGGGTCGTGGCTAGTGCCACTAAAAGTCAATAATCCAATAATACCTAGCTGCGGACATTGCCCAGGAAAAACGTTTTTCCTGGGCAATGTCCGCAGCTAGACCTTACTCCTAAAAGTCGTGGCACCACCCGGAAGTGTAATGGCAGCAGTGGTAGGGGGCGTGGCTAGTGCAAAGTCGTGGCACCACCCGGAAGTGTAATGGCAGCAGTGGTAGGGGGCGTGGCTAGTGCCACTAAAAGCCGCGGGTGCCACTAAAAGCCGTGGCACCACCCGGAAGTATCAGAACTGCCACTGCAAGTGCCACAAGCGCTGCCGCTGCCACAAATTGCGCTCGGTCCTGCTGTAAAATAGACACTAGGGTAAGTAAACAGCCTGTAGTGTGACATCTACTATCTTTAAAAAACAAACTCATGGTGGGTCTGTGTTTGTGTTTCCACTAATCTGCCACATAGGTCAAGTTTTAATCAAACAATGAGAGAAATACGCTGCTGCCACGTCAACTTGAAGAATTCTGATTCGTTTTTTCAACCTGTGTGAAGAAGAAATCACAGAAAGGATTGACTAAAATGTCACAAGATTTTGCAGTACGGAAATAAAGATGATAAAGAAGTTAAAACAAGTGAAAGGTAAAATCCGATCAGATTAGCTGTGGTTTCATTATTTTTTGACTTAATAAATTTAAAAAAGAATTAAATTACACGCTGTGCGAAAGACTCCCAAACTGATGAATTGAGTTATTTTCTTGAATGCTGATAAATAACATACGAGTAGAAATGTCGACTCCATGAGAAAGTGTAAACCATAATTTCAAAGCTAAAGCTAATTCCCATTACAAAGTATCACTAGTGAGGAAGGGTTAGCTAGGCTGCTAGCTCGTTGTCAATTATGGCTAGTTTCGGTGTAGATTTGTCTGATTGATGGGGGAAAACCTACCGTATAATTTTATTTAGCCTCCTCGGATCTGTCGTGCTATTGGAAGACATTTTTGCCCCCAAATCTCCTTTGTTAAAAAGCAAATAAAATAAATTTAAAGTGACCGACGGACAGCTGATCGGCCTCGCGGTGAGTGACGAAACGAGATCAGAAAATTATTTCCGCTAAATTTCAAAACAAGAGTTCAAGATGTTTTTTTGCATTGACTAACATGGAGGTAAAATATTTAATATTTTATTTTGAAAAGAACAAAATAACCCAGTATAAATGGGGCATACGGGTTTAAACAGTACACTCTTTATGATAGGAAAACATAATACAGGAATGTGTGGCTGTGGAAAGGATAGAGAAACGGTAGAAAATGTACTGTGTAAATGTGACAAATATATAAAGAATAGGAAAATATTATCTAGACAATTAAAGATGAAAGATAATGAAAAGTTGAATTTGAGGAATATATTAATTGGAGGATTAGATGTGTATAAATTACTAATTGAATTTTTAAAGACTGGTAATTTAATATATAGAATTTAATTAGAACAGTTTCTCCGTTTCTCCCTAATGCGACTCATACTCCCACACAGAAGGTGGCGGAAATGCACCTAGAAGTTGGTTGCCAGCATCGACCGCCACCCGCCAATGAACAAGAAGAAGAAGACGTTGTAACTTAGCAAACATGTATCGTTGGTGGTTTAAAATATTCTAGTATTAAACTTCTAGCTTCGCTTTGAATATATTAACATGACTAACAGATAGCGTAGGTACGTTTTTTCATGTTGATTATTAAAACGCTTTTTATTACCGGAAACTAGCTCGTGCACAGCATAATGACACAGTTTGAGGATATTGTGGGTGACCGATGATTGTTTCTCCTCACAGGTAATGATGGCGTTCCCTCAGCCCAAACCTCAGGCTCCTCAGCTTCCTCAGCATCTTCTCCGGACCATTGACTGCCAGCAAGGAGCTGTCAGGGCTGTTCGCTTTAACGGTAAACTTTAAAACCCCTCTTGAAGCCTGATATTTACTATTTATGCCAAAATACAAACAAACTTCCAAAGAACCAAACCTGTCTTTTTTTGTTAATCATTTAGTAATGTTTAAATCTGTGTTTACAATTTCTGTGATCTTGCAAATGGTTTTTACTTTTATTGTTATTGAATGGCTTTTCCTCCATACATCTTTGTACCTGATTCTTCATTAAAATCTACTAGTAGCAGCACTGCAATAAACACAAAATATAGTTAGTGTTTAATGTTGAGAATATTAAAATAATTTGATGAATCCATTATCCATCTGGCTAATGCCTAATCATAAACCATTAGTCCCTTGCATTCACACACACACACACACACACACACACACACACACACACACACACACACACACACACATACACATATATGTATGTATGTATAAAGTCTTATATTTTAAGCCTTTTGCCCCAAATGAATGACTTATGTAAGAAAAGATGTCAAGTTGTTGTTGTTGTTGTTGTTAGCCTCAAGGGCAACATGCCGATTATCACTTGTAAGTCGCTTTGCACAAAAGCGTCTGCTAAATACATAAACATAAAACATTGTTTTTATTGGTGTAAAATGTTCCTTTTTGCTTAGCTGTTGGTCGTGTACTGACAACACTTAATACACCTTTACTTAGGGCTTTTATTTTGTTGATGTTACAGTAGGAAGTGGCTTAAAATGAAAAGCACTCTTATGAAATTGGTCGCATGCAAAGATTTGACTGAAATCAACAATAATAATAAACATGATTGTTTTCCTCCTTATTTTTAACCAGCTGACGGAAACTATGTACTGTCGTGCGGCAGCGACAAGTCGCTGAAGTTATGGAGTGTGAGTCAGGGGACCTTCCTGAAGACGTACAGCGGTCATGGATACGAGGTTCTGGATGCAGATGGGTGAGACGTTTGCTCTCATTTTCTTCCTCAGTATTTCAGGAATAATAAAATGTTGTTTTCAGGTGATTTTTTTTCCGATCCATGATGGAAAGAACACAAACACTTCAGTCATCTATTTACTAAACTCCTTTTGAGCCTTGATGGACCTTTTTTTCCCTCTTTGACTGCTTCCACAGGTCATACGACAACAGCCAGATTTGCTCCTGCAGCTCCGACAAGAGCGTGATCCTGTGGGACGTAGCAACAGGCCAGGTCACACGCAAGCTCCGAGGTCACGCCGGGGTCAGTCTGGCTGCTTTCTATGATGGCGTTTCTTTTGTCTGTAAAGTCCATTTGATGTAATTGTCTGAGCTGTTGCTGATGTTGTTGATGTGCATTTATGTTTCAGTTTAATCGTGAATATCTTTGATTAAACTTTCTTTTCTCAGAAAGTTAATTGTGTGCAGTTCAACGAGGAGGCAACAGTGATCTTATCTGGTGAGTAGCAGAACACGTCTGCAGTGATCCGTGGATTTTTGGACTTCCTGGAGAAATGTGCCGTTCTTTATGATAAAAAGTTGAAATTTAAAGGTTATGATTCTGCAGTTTGAACCTTAAACGGTCTTCCCAGGTAATGTGCATATTAACGTTTGTGAGTGTGTTCTGACTTTCTAGGATCGATAGATGGGACGGTGCGGTGCTGGGATACAAGATCCAGACGATTTGAGCCCATCCAGGTTCTAGATGAGGCTCGGGACAGCATCAGCAGCCTGAAGGTGGCCCAGCATGAGCTGCTTACCGGGTCAGCACAGTAGACCGGGGTTTTACTTTCCTTTCATTACTATAATAATTAGGGATGTCCCGATCCTGAGATCTTTTTCATATTTTTCAGTGATCGGAGATTGGCAGTTATAACTGATGTGTCTTGCTGATTTTCCGAAGTAGAATATGAGCTCGTTGGCATATGCTCCGTCCAGGGGAAACACTCCTGTAGAGGGCTCCTTTTCCTGTGTAATAGTGTAGCTCTGTTTACGGTCGGGTTTTCCAAAAGAAGTCAACCAAATGGATGACGAATTCAGCGGCGATTTACATTTCTCAAGGTGTCTGGGACACTTACCGAATTGCTCCTCTCTCCTGTCGGCTCGCGCGAGTTTAAATCCCCCCGGGGAAACCTCAGAGTGTGCTGTGAGCTTGTTCTTCTACGTCTCATCTACACTCTACGACCGGTCTCAAAACAAGAAGTTGATTTCATGGGATTTACAGCAATAATGCTAATGCTTATTAAAGAAATTAGTCTTAGAAAGTTAACCTGAGTTATTTGCTACAAATTTATTGCGGCTTTATAAATTTCAACAGTAAAAGCAAACAATTGGATCAGGACTCGAAATCAGATCGGATTTGAAGATAAAAGGTTGGATCGGGATTGGGAGTCTAAAATGCTGATCAGGACATCCCTAATAATAATCTACTTCTCATTTTGATGGATGGTTTCAAGGTTGGATCTATCCTCCTGTCTGTTAGAGAGTTTCATAAATCACTATGTGTTCAGGTCCGTGGACGGCCGGGTGAGGCGCTACGACTTGAGAATGGGACAGCTTCATGTAGACTTCGTCAACAGTCAGTAAACATTTTGATCACCGTTTTAAAAATAAATAAAATAAATAAATCGTTGATTATTGTCGATTAAAACAAAAGACTTAGCTATTTTTTAAGCCAAGATTAAAGCTACCGGGAATGCAGAGCACTGATGAGGTGTGTGTGTGTGTGCGTGTGTGTGTGTGTTTTTATTGCAGGTCCCATTACCTGTGTGTGTTTCAGTCAGGATGGCCAGTGCACCCTGAGCTCCAGCTTGGATTCAACGGTTCGTCTTCTGGACAAGAGCACCGGCGAGATGCTGGGGGAGTGAGTGCTGAAGAGCTTTGTTGTTTCTAATCTGAGTCCGCACGTCCGCTCCTCTTTCTGCAAACACGTGCTCGTGTTACACGAACCTGTGGCGGACATAAAAGAGGATTTAGTGGAACTTTAGTGAGAAGTTCTCTCACGCGAAAGCTTCTTCTGCACGACTGTACTGATAAATGATGTTCACGTGTCTGCATGTGCAAAATGTAATCACTAATCAGCATTTTCTGACAAAAATGATCTTATTTAACGGATGTATTGTGTGTGCTTTGTAGGTTTACGGGACACAAGATGAAAGGCTACAAACTAGACTGTTGCCTGTCCAGTAAAGACACCCACGTGTTGAGCTGCTCAGAAGATGGATTCGTCTACTGCTGGGACCTGGTGGAGGTGTGTAGCCCGTTATGTTTTAAGGTGTTGAACACTCGTCTAATCAATACATTTGTAATGGTCTCCAGTAGGAATGAATGCCTTGTAAGTCATACTTTGGGGGGAAGAAAGCCCAGATGTTTCAGAATCAGGAAGTTCAAGTCGGCTGGAGGAGAGAGTAGCTTCAGACGGCAGGTTTTGGAGTCTTATTTCCTGATATTTGGACATCTCGCCTCTGATTGGATAACAACAACGTGACTCTACCACTGACCTTTGCATCGTTGATGTTTTATCTCCACAAATAACACAAGCCTGGAGAAATTCAGCTGTGTGGTGGAGTTGCTAATGCTAACAGTTAGCTTCTACTACTCAAGATGTCCTCTGCCGTTTCCTGAACACCAGAACAACAACAGCCTTTCCCGTCGTGAGTCAAGATGGGTGAGTCCTTGAATGTTAAACAGTGTGACGCAGATCTGTCAGGATTTTTAAATCCTCGAGTTTCACCGTTTCTATCAGACGCTAGTGCAGGAGGCAGGTGTAGGAGACTTATTTTCATGTTCAGCCTGTATGAAAAACTCAAAGAGTGACTGATTATAATCAGAAATAGTCATTAAAAAAAGGTTTTTTCAGTGTCCTGATGTAATGATACATAAAACCAGAGCTCTGAATCTTGTCTTTTTCCTCCAGGGGTCTTTGTCCTTAAAGCTGCCAGTGGGAAAAGCGGTTGTCCAGTCCCTGGCCTTCCACCCCTCAGAGACCTGCCTCCTCACAGCCATGGAGGGGCGGGTTCAGGTGTGGGGGGCGGAGCCTGAAGATGCAGAGGAGGACACCACCACCTCGTAGACACGGTGAAAGGCATCACGGGTGTTCACAGAAGAAGTAGTAATACTCTGGCTTTACGTGAGCTTTGTGTCACGTTCTGTTTCATTCAGGAATCACCCGACAGCTTAGATCATTGTGGTTTTGGTGGAAAGGCCACGAGACTGAGATTTGGGTTATATATCAGCTGTGAAAGAAAATTTACAGATGATCTGATCCCAATAAGTGTTTTCCTGCTTGTGTCGCATCAGAGATGTAAAACTCAGCCTGAGCCTCGTGTCACAATGTTTTTATTTGTTTTCTAATGTTTTGTTTTTTATGGTTGAAGAAAAAACATAAAAATAAAGAGAAGATTAGAAAGAAACGTGCAGATTTTATTAAATTTATTTTTTAAATTAATTTATCATCCAGTTTTTATTCTCTTTAGTCAACAGAAGGTGTTCATGTGAGAAAGTTTTCATATTTTGATATAAGAACATAAACTACAGTAAATCAAACCAGAAATAGTGTTTTTTTTATTTATACTTTATTAAATTCCCAATAAAAAGGTCATTTGAATTCATTTTTATTGTAAAATCTGCTTCAAATCAACACTGAAAGGAACACATTACAAAATAAATTATTCAGCCAGACAAAATAAAACCAAACATTAAATAAATAAATAATTTATCTTACATAAATACTTTTTTCTGTGACGCTGAATCGTCGCACGCCTAAAGATCATAAAGACAAAACTACACGGCTTCTTATTCTCTCTTCTATTGGCTGAATTTTCAGCTTATTTACAAAAATAAAAGCCTTTTAAACTGAAGCTTGTGCTCAAAAATATTCATCTGGATAGATTTTAAGGGGAGAAAACATGATAAAATAAAATAAACTTAAATTAAAAATTTTCTGTGTTTAATGCAAACAATAAAAAACATTTTCTTTTAAATGGCAGCAATCAGGAAAAACTGCACGGTAATCATTTTGCTCCGGAGTGGCAGGAAAAATAACTTATTTTTGAAGTGAGCATAAATAAAACCAACGTGTCTCCGAATAATTCTGGCCTTTTGCCTCCTCCTTGTCACGGTCAGCCCACGCAGCTACAGGCAGCCGCCGACAGCTTCTCCACCTTGTGCCAGCGGTGGGAGTTATCCAGGAAGGCCATGTCCTCGTGGTGGGTGGGCCGGCAGCAGGGGGTGCTGTGCCACGTCTCCCCGGGCGCTGGGCGGGGGAGCACTCCGCTCAGCCGCAGGTTTCTGAGCGTGAGGTCGTGGTTGGAGCGAGCGTGGGGACACGTCCCGCTGCAGTACTTAAACAGGACCGTCTCATCCGAGTCGTAGCCCAAGCCCAGGTCTCGGACCTGCAGCAGCGTGGACCTCAGGCCGCACTGAGAATCCGGGGAAGAGCGGCGTGTTCGAATGATGGGAAGAGAGGACGACCTGACTCCAGAAGTTTCCGTTTGCTCGTCCTCTACTGTTAAAGATCTGCTTCTTCTATCTTCGTCTGCAGACGATTTCTGTTTCGGACCTGGGAATAGAGATAGTCGGTCAAACATCTCATAAGGCAAATGAAAGCAGGCATTAGCTGTCACTTACTCATCAGCGGTCGTAGCCAGTGGCCCTCTCCCTTTTGGATGAGGAAAAGAATCACGAGAACCTTCAACAAGGACCTCATGGCTGAAGGTCTGCTCTTCGTCTGTGCTGAAGCAGACACCATGTGTACGTCTGACTGACTGACTGCAGGTGTGAGGGATGCTCGAGATGCAGACGAGTCACGACCTCCAATATATAGCCCTCTGAGATGAAGGGGGGTGGGGGTGAGGTTTAGGGGGAGACAGACACTAACTCGTTGCCTGCCAACTGGCTATCCCGCTCACCTGAGCCTGACAGGGAGCGTAGGAGGGCAGCCGGGCGCTTGACCCAGAATTTGTCCTGTTGGGATTATCTAATTGATGTTTTATTGGAGAGTTTCTCACAGATGTTTTTCCAGAGGAAGCTGGCCTTCAACAAAGCAGGTTCCCAGAGGTTTGTGTTCTTAAAGGTTCTCAAAAGCTCCTGAAGGACGGACAGTGTGAGTCTGATGAAGGAATCAGCAGCTTTGATAGAACAGCAGGAAAGACACTAGAGTCACGTAAGAAACTCAAGAAACAAAACAATAAAATATGTTTTTACATGAAAATAGACCCCTTTGAGGCATGTTTTAGTTGCTAATCTAATTCTTGATGTAGAATCAAAAAGGGAAAATTCAAACAATAAAGCAAAACTTCAACATTTAAGATGAAAGTGATTTGTAGTTGGAACTGGATCCATCTGGAGAGCTTATTCTTCAACTGCTGGATCTCGGTTTAGCTGAAATGTGAATTATGCAACAATTACAAGCTCCAAACCGGCAATGAGTGGAATTTAGAGAATGAAAATAACATTTGGATTTTTTTCTGCTCTCCAGGTGCTGGACAAACCCCTCAGCTCTTTATTCATCAGACGGTTTCATTTATACTCACATAAACAGAACTTCAAGTCTTACAGCATTTGTAGGTCTGTGTTGTTGCCTTTATTTCAGCTGCAGGTGGCGACCGATGTGGGGTTTTTCTGATGCAGGTCCTGATGCTGATATGTAGAGAGGTCAATGTCAGCTGATGGCTGATATCTAGACGTTTCCCACCTCCTTTACAAGCTTAAATGTCACTAATAACAGTCAACGCTGAATTTATCCAACAGCTGAATCTTAATTTTGTTCTCTATTTGATGTTAAAATCAATCATTTGACCAAACATACACAAATGAATAAACAGACCAGGTACTAAATATGTATTTCCTTAGTTACTTATGTTATATCAGCTGACAATGTTTCAGAGCATTCAAACAACTGAAATAAAATTTAAAAGCATGAATCTGCCTGATTTTTTATTTAAAAAATAGCTTTGGGGCAAATTTTCATGATTTATTAAATTGTGATTAATCAAGATTAATTAAATACAAACCCTCTAATTAATTAGATTATTTCTTGATCGAGTCCCACCATTATTTTATCTTTTATGCTTGAAACCAAACATGGAGTCTTTTTACGTGCTACTTAAATGTTGGTCTTCATCCCTATCCTTACTGCCTGAATGCTAATTATATTAGTTCACCCCCCACACCCCCAAAATAAAATCAAAAGTGGAGTCATAGAAAGTTCCAGTTTCCTGTAAATGGAAAACAATCCCAGGAAAAGGGCAGAGGGCCTGACACATTCCTTCCACTTCTCAGGAAGACGGAGGGATTTAGGCATCGTGAGATGAAAAGACGGACGGAAACCTGACTGAGGAGGTGATGGGAGAAATGCAGCAATCCTTCTGGATTATGGTCTGAGGAACTAGTCTGGGCTTTTAGATTGTCAGAAGACAGGAATGAGAGGAATGTGGCATCACTTTAAGAAAAAGAAAAATGTTGATTACATTTAAACATTTGTCATTCCAGCTAGATTTAGTCATACATGAGGCTAATGTAGAAAATCAGCATTTAAACATGTGTCACCAGGACATTGGTAATTACAGTTGCCCACGAAACGCATTACAACAGTAATCATTAATTTACAGGTGAGAATTACTTCTATCGTTTCAGGTAAAATGCTGCTTAGCTCTTTAGCTTTGCAGGGAGAAGGTCCTGAGTTTGACTCCTGAATCATGGCTTTCAGCATGGCGTTTGGTTGTTTTCGTTGTGCATCGTTGTGTTTCCTTACAAACCTATGAGCCCAGTGGGTGCATGCACAGGTTTTCTTGTGTCTCTTTGATAGGTGCAGATCTTATTAAATAGCTCCAAATAATGAAATCATATAGAAATGTATTTTTGTTTTGGGTTTAGAATTAAACATGGAATTTATACATGGAATGCTGGGGGGGTGATGGCAGAGGAGCTAAGTGTCTGCGCCATAACCAGAGGGTTACAGGCTCAAGACCTGCATAGTCCATCACAGTCGTTGTGTAGCAGTCATAATTTAAATGCCTTTTGGGGGGGGGGGGGGGGGGGGGGGGGCTATCATAAAATTAGAAAAAAAATGGGAGTTCATTTTTCAATTTCATATTTTCACAATGTTATATTTTAATTTATAAATGTTAAAGTTCCCAACTAAATATTTATTTTTTTAAACGTAATGTTTTAATCAGACTTAAATATTTAGTTTGAAAAAAAAATATCATTTTGAAATATTTAGCTTTCAATCTTAATATCTAGGTCTAACCTACATGTTTAGTTTGTAAACTAAATATTTTATTTAGTTTACAAACAAAATATTTAGCTCCAAATGAAATATTTATTTTCTGAAATAAATATTTAGATTCCAGCTTAATATTTATTTTTGGACTAAACCTAAAATTTGACTTTGCAAACTAAATGATTTGCTCCCAAATAAATATTATGCTCGGATCAAAATATTTATTTTTGAAATTTAATATTTCATTTGGGGATAAACATTTAGTTTGTAAACTAAATATTTACCTCCAAAAAAGTTTTTGTTGGTGCATTGAATATAATTATATTGTATTATTATTGTTGTATTGTTTTATTTTAGTTGTTTCATTATAGTGTTTAATTTAATAGTTTTATTGGGTCTTTTTAGTGCAGTTTTACTGGACCTTAGTTACTTTTGGTTGTTGTATTTTGGTTGTTTTAATTTCTTTGAAAGGCGCCTGAAATTAAATGTTTTATTATTACTATTATTATTTTTATTATTGTTATTGTTGTTGTTATTATTATTATTATTACAAACTAAATATTTAGGTCAGATCCAAATATTTACTTTGTAAAAAAAATGTTTTTACTTTAAATTAAATATTTGGCTTGCTAACTAAATACTTAGTTAGGAACTTATGAATAACATGATGAAAATATGACTTTTAAAAAGGAACTCCCAATTTTTTTTTCTTAGGCTAAATAACAAAAAAAAAAAAAAAAACACCTGCTGTTAAATTATGACTGTTTGACTTTACAAATTTCACCCCATAGTTGTGTCCTTGGGCAGGACACCTAATCTACGTTGCTGGTGGTGGCCTGTGTACAACAGCTTTTAGCCCCTGTGGGGCAGCTGTGGCTATATTGTAGCCCATCATTAACATAGCAGTTTCAACCAGGAAGTTGGTATATAAATACAGATATTTACTATTTATGCCCCCAGACTTTGTTAAATGTGGTTTGATAAAAAAAAATAGAATATGCTAAGAACAAAACCAAAGATATAAGAACACTTTCTTGGTAAAATCGATTAAAAAACACCACAAACCACATTTACTTTAAAGTTATCAAGTGATCAACCTTTGTCTCTGCAGAAGTTTCATCAAGGGTAGACATGTTAGCTCCACATGATGCATTCAGGTGTCATCTTTCCAGCAGCCACGTAGGAATTCTTAAAAACAGGAGATATTTACAGGAACTGTCACAGAAGGATGCTATAAATACAAAGGAGGAACGCTGCATTCCTGGTTGACCTGGTCAGACAGTCAGCCCATATACGGATTGTCTGAACCAAAAGTGGCAAGAATGCAGAGAACAGATTTCCAGTAAGTGGAAATATTCTGCAAGGATTTAGCCTAGGAATCTCAAACTTGCATGGAGCGGTTCCTGTTTACGATGTAAATCAAGCTACTCTGAGCTGAGATACGTTCAACCGTCTGTCCAAAAGGCACGAGAAACTCGTAAATACTCGCCATCATTTAATAACCAAGTAAAACGTATAAAGTTGGTCATTTTATCTCAGAATAAACAATTTGAAGCCTCAGTATGCAGATATTTGCTGGTGCAATTCCCCCTTTGATGATGAAGCTGCAGTTTTATTGCACCAAATGAGGAACTTGACTTTATCCATAGAAGTAAACTCACTTTGGTTGATTATAGCAACAATTCTTGTAATTATTTTGAGGTGGTGTGAAGACCATTTCCATTTTGGAGGATAAATAACTTCTGATGAAGCCAAATTAAGTTACTTAGAGATGAAATCTTTAAATTAACCACTAATTTAAAACTCATTTATATTGTGGATTCTGTTATTTATGGATCTTTTTAATTCAAGGCTAGACCTGCATGATGGTTTCAGTGATCAGATCATAACCCAACTACAGTTGTGGTCAGAAGTTTACATACACTTGTAAAAAATATAATATAATGGCTCTACTGAGTGTCCCGTTATCTCTAAAACTCTTATTTTTCTCTGATAGAGTGATTGGAACAGATACTTCTTTGTCACAAAAAATATTCATGAAGTTCGGTTCTTTAATGTCTTTATTATGGGTTAACAGAGAAAAGTGATCACATTTGCTGGGTCACAAATATACATACAACAGTGCTAATATTTGGTTACATGTCCCTTAGCCATTTTCACTTCAATTAGGCGCTTTTGGTAGCCATCCACAAGCTTCTGGTTGAATCTTTGACCACTCCTCTTGACAGAATTGGTGAAGTTCAGTTAAATTTGATGGCTTTCTGACATGGACTTGTTTCTTCAGCACTGTCTACATGTTTTCAATGGGGTTTAAGTCAGGACTTTGGGAAGGCCATTCTAAAACCCTTATTCTAGCCTGATTTAGCCATTCCTTTACCTTTTTTGATGTGTGTTTGGGGTCATTGTCCTGTTGGAACACCCAACTGCGCCCAAGACCCAACCTTCGTGCTGATGATTTGAGGTTATGTTGAAGAATGTGAAGGTAATCCTCCTTCTTCATTATCCCATTTACTCTCTGTAAAGCACCAGTTCCATTGGCAGCAAAACAGCCCCACAGCATAATATTCCCATCACCATGCTTGACTGTAGGCATGGTGTTCTTAGGGTTAAAGGCCTCACCTTTTCTCCTCCAAACATATTGCTGGGCATTGTGGCCAAAAAGCTCGATTTTTGTTTCGTCTGACCACAGAACTTTCCTCCAGAAGGTCTTATCTTTGTCCATGTGATCAGCAGCAAACTTCAGTCGAGCCTTAAGGTGCCGCTTTTGGAGCAAGGGCTTCCTTCTTGCACGGCAGCCTCTCAGTCCATGGAGATGCAAAACACGTTTGACTGTGGACAATGACACCTGTGTTCCAGCAGCTTCTAATTCTTGGCAGATCTGCTTTTTGGTGATTCTTGGTTCCCTCTTTACCCTCCTGACCAATTTTCTCTCAGCAGCAGGTGATAGCTTGCGTTTTCTTCCTGATCTTGGCAGTGATGAAACAGTGCCATGCACCTTATACTTACAAACAATTGTTTGCACTGTTGCTCTTGGGACCTGCAGCTGCTTTGAAATGGCCCCAAGTGACTTTCCTGACTTGTTCAAGTCAATAATTCGCTTTTTCAGATCCATGCTGAGCTCCTTTGACTTTTCCATTGTAGCGTTTGTGGGCGTTTGTATCCAATGAGCCCTATTTACCTGGCCTAAGAGAAGTCACCAGCTGTAGTCACTCATAATCACTCACAAGAAGTTAAGAGGCCATGCTATGAAGCTCAGTTCACTGACACGTTTCTAAGTCACCAAAATTGCTAGATCATGTTGCTGTATGTATATTTGTGACCCAGCAAATGTGATCACTTTTCTCTGTTAACCCATAATAAAGACATTAAAGAACCAAACTTCATGAATGTTTTTTGTGACAAAGAAGTATCTGTTCCAATCACTCTATCAGAGAAAAATCAGAGTTTTAGAAATAACGGGACACTCAGTAGAGCCATTATATTATATTTTTTACAAGTGTATGTAAACTTCTGACCACAACTGTAATTCTACAGTTAAAATGTGACTAAATTAAGAATTGTCCAAACAACAACACAGCACCAATATAACCAAATGGATGATTCTGAATATTAAAAACAAATATTAAACAATACAGAGAAATGTTTAGAAAGAAGAAAAAACTCATTTTGCAAATATTGAGCAAACATTTTTAATGAAAAGTGCAATTTATCCTACTTCTTTCCATGACACATAGATGAAGCACCTGAATAATACAATCTGAACACTGCACAAACAAATATAATTTCTTCTGTAAACCACAAATATCACATTTTTCATGTTATGAAAGTTTCCCTGAAACGTTCGTCCTGGGAGGTGGCAGCCACCAGTCTTTACTTTTACCTTGTCTTCAAATATTTAACAAATGTGACACACAGACTACATCTAAACCCACAAAAATGCGTGGGAGTCTTTCGGGCCATGGTGGGAACAGATTAAACTGATAAGGGTGAAGTCAGAGCATCTGTGAGTCCCTGAGTGTCCACAGCAGTGTTGCATATCAAAGATGTGTCCTGCAGCAGAGACACCAACTCAAGAGGACCCGGCTGGTCTGTTGTTGTTTTCTGGGACATGGGCTCCCTGTGCTTCTTTCTGACCACTCTCTTTGTGTCACTGTAACCACTTAACCTGGAAGCAAGAGATCTCTTAGGCCAGGCCCGGTTCAGCTTCTTCCTCTCTGGGTCGTGGATGACTCTGTGTCGCTGGAGACTTGGCTTCATAGCGAACGCCTTCCCACAGCCATCGTGGGTGCAGACAAAGGGGCACAGGTTCTCGTGGAAGGAGTTGACATGACTCTGTAGGCTGAACATAGTGGTGTATGACCTCTCACAGCCATCTCTTGGGCACTTGAAGACCACTCTCGTCTCTGAGTGGACGTGTTGATGCTGCTGCAGGAACCAGGAGTCCCTGAACACCTTGCTGCACTGATCACACTTGATGACAGACCTGTGCTGGTCCTTCCTGTGCTTCAGTAGTTCTGTCCAGGTTTTACCCGTGAAGGCGCAGTGCTGCTCCTCGCAGGAGTACCCTTTGTGCACCTTCTCGTGTCGCTTCCGCCTGCTGGGGAAGGCAAATCTCATCTCACAACCTTCGTATGTGCACTTGTAAATAGGCAGCTGAGAGTGCTGCTCACACACATGGGACTTCAACTGCTTGTGTTTCTTGAACCTCAGGCCGCAGCTCTCGTATTTGCAGACATATTTGGGCTGATCCTGGGAGTGGATACGGCTGATGTGTCTCCTCCGGTTTGCGTCGGTGGCGAAGGCATCCGTACAGCCATCTACGTCGCAGACGAACGGTTTCTCGCCGGTGTGGCTGAGCTCGTGTCTCGAGAGGTGGTAGGGGGAGCAGAAGGACTTGTCGCACCCTTCGTGCTCGCAAGAGAACGGCTTTACTCCCGTGTGTTTACAAATGTGAGCGTCCAGTTTCCACTGTTTGTTATAAGCAGCCGAACAGCCATTAAAAGAGCAGAAGTAACGTTTGTGCCGTTCTTTAGTTTCCATTTTTCTTGACAAGAAGCCGAAATGCTACTAAATCTAACGTGGCGCGCATGTGCTATTAGCACTTTTTCTACAAAGCATCAGCAGTATTTCCCACAATCCTCTCTAAAGTGACGCAGCTTCCGGGAGAAACGTCATCGGTCAGCGACGGTGTTGTGTTTTTTTTTTCATATCAGTGCAGCTAAAAACACAAGTAAGTAAAATTCAGAATTGTTGCACGTAACAGTGTTCATACAGTTGGATAATTTGATTTTGAACACATTTTTTTTTATCTTACCTGAACAGTTTTTTTTTATTCTTACCCTTTACAATTTGCGCACAAAAGCCACGCATGTTACAACACCAGCTAGCTCTGCGCGTTACCAGCTAGTTAGCTTTACGGTTGCTAATTTTTTTCTGGTTTTATTTTTCATGTCTGAGACAAGACCGGTTATTGTAAATATGGATTGTGATAATAAACTTAGCTGTGAAAGCTGAACCCATAGCAGAGTTACGTTTTTTATGTGCTTGCGCTCGTATTTCAGTAAAGTAGCTAAAATATAGTCTTGTTGGTTGAAAACGACTCTTAGGTGCATTCATCTTTTCATTTAATTTAAATAAATTTATGTCATTGTGTTATGTTAAAAGGATCAAGTCAAAGTGCTGAGCTTCAGTAATCACTATGGTAAGGTGATATATATTTTTTTCCTCTAATGATGCAAGTAAACAGCTACAGTTCAATATATAGGAAACACTTAAAATCAAGCTTTATCTTAATGAAAGAAAAAAGATAATTAACCTTGTAGTAGCATTGCCCACTTCCTTCTCATGTAAAAGCAATTTATTATTATTATTGTTATTATTATTATTATTATTATTATCTTATTAAGATTCTTAAAGTTGTGCAGAAACACATGAAAAACCTCATAGTTGGCACACACGATCCATTTATTCTGGAGGAGATGGATAGCCTCTAAAACCTGAATATGCTTCAGGTTACTAGAAGTTATAACATTATTAGAAATGGAGGTCAATTAATATTGTTTTTATATTTCTGATACCGATATGTAGAGGTAGTGATCAGCCAATGATTTCCATCTTATTTTAATGCTAAAGTTTCACTAATAACATCAGTTGATGTACAACATTTTTGAAGTTGAATCATTTTTTTAAACACTGAATTTAACCAGCTTTTAAAATCTTAATTTGTGCACTGCTCAGTGTCAAAATCGGGCATTAGACTAAAGTTGATCAAACCAATCAATTAACTGACCAAATATTAAATATTCAAAACTGGTATATAAAAATAAATTTTTGCTGAAAATGTTTGTTAGGGCATTTATTATGCAGATGTTATTCATGCATGTACATTTTGCATTAAACTGCAGCAGCACCGGGCTGCCCAAGGCATAAGCCTGGCATTAAATTGCCTTTACTAAGGATGTAAATGGGCCGATATGACATTAAAAAATGTCAAACATAGACCCAATGTATTGGCTGACTGATCTTCCCCTATGTAGAGAGGACCATTATGATAAATAAAGGGGTGTCCTTTCTCCTGTTTACATATTTTTGGAGTTATTTCCACTTAATCTGATCAAACTAATTTTATATTCCCATGCTGTCAAACCAAAAAGACCAAATTCACTAAAATAAATGCAAAATTGCATTATTCTCTGGTTGTATGGTTTCTTAGTTTTGTCGGCTGTGTATTTACTGTCTTTCACTGTTTACTTGACAGGGTGAAAGAAAAGGAACAAACAAGTACTACCCTCCAGATTTTGATCCAGCCAAGGTGTGCATGATGCACCGACCCCCTGAAAGCTGAACTATTTTAGTTAAATCTTTTATGTTTAGCATCACACTTAACCATTTTTGTCTTTAGCATGGATCCCTCAATGGTTACCATAAGACTCATGCGCTGCGGGAGAGGGCCAGGAAACTATCCCAGGGCATCCTTATTATCAGGTTAGTGCATTTTTTTTGTCTTTAAAGTAATTTAACTTAAGTCTTTACACACATTATCAGTTTAAGTTTTCTTTTTAAGTATTCACATTAACATAAAATGCACAAAAGAGAAGATTTTCTATAATATTCAATCTGAATCTGTTTTGGTGCGTTAGGTTTGAAATGCCCTACAACATCTGGTGTGATGGCTGCAAGAATCACATTGGCATGGGTAAGTTGAGGACAAACCGTATTTCTTTAGTTTTAACATCTTTGCATCACCATAACACGTATGACTCGTGTGTTCAGGGGTTCGTTACAATGCTGAGAAGAAGAAGGTGGGGAACTACTACACCACGCCAATCTATAGGTATGTAAAGAAGGACCTGGTTTGCGTATAAAACATAAAAATGTTTTTGAGTTGGTGTCATTTCAGTCACATGAGGGGAGAAAATGTTAAATTAACATTTAAAACCTTTTTATCCAACCAGGTTTAGGATGAAGTGCCACCTGTGTGTCAACTACATCGAGATGCAGACAGATCCAGCGACTTGTGACTATGTCATAGTTAGTGGAGCGCGCAGGAAGGAGGAGCGTTGGGACATGGCTGAGAACGAGCAGATCCTGACAACAGGTAACCGTTGTGTTTGTCCTGCTTTAAAATACACTTGCTTTACCAATGTTCGCAAAATAGGATGAAGTCTTTATTTCCTGTGTTTTTGTTTACCTGTACACTTCCTGCACACTTCCTTTCTTCTTACCGGTTCAATCTATCCTTCTCTTGGAGCAGAACGGCTGGAGAAGGAGAAGCTCGAGACAGATGCCATGTTCAAACTGGACCACGGTGGGAAGGACAAGGCAAAGCTTACAAAAGCCCTGCCGTCTCTCTCTGAGATCCAGGACCACCAGGCGGGCTGGAAGGATGATTTTCAGCTCAACAGCTCCCTTCGGAGGAAATTTAGAGTAAGGGGTCCTCCTCTGTTGTTAACTTTGCTCAGTTCACCTAATTCATTAGAAACATTTAGAATGGCAGTTTTCAAAAAATATAAAAATAAATTAATAGCAATAATTAGGAAAAGGAAAAAAGATTATTATGGTGAATTATTGGAAAAGAATAAGGCTACATGGGGAATAATAAATAGTGTGACGAACAGAAATAAAACTACATCTAAGGTACCAAATTACTTTGTCAAGGACAATGTAGACATTTATGATGTCAAAGAAATCTCTAATGAATTCAGTGATTTTTTTGTAAATGTAGGGAGGAGTTTGATGGGTCATGACACTTTAATTGAAGACAATTTGAATACAGTAGTAAATAATGTCAGTAGTATTTTCCTTGGCAAAGTAGAAAAGGAGGAAATACGAGAAATTGTAAAAAACTGTGGAAATAAGCGATCAACTGATTGTGAGGATTTGGACATGATGACTGTAAAGACCATAATAGAATCTGTTATTGATCCTTTTACTTATATTTGTAGTTTGTCACTTTCTACTGGAGTCTTCCCTGATGCTATGAAAATAGCAAAAGTGGTTCCACTGTTTAAGAATGGTGATAAACATAATTTCACAAATTATAGGCCAGTGTCACTACTTCCACAGTTTTCCAAAATACTAGAAAAAGTCTTTGCATCACGGTTGGATAAATTTATTGAAAAAATATGATCTTACATAATGAACAGTATGGATTCAGGACCCAACATTCAACAACAATGGCAATAATGGATTTAACAGAGAAAATATCTGAAGCGATAGACAATAGAGAATACTTTATTAGTGTTTTTATTGACTTAAAGAAAGCTTTTGACGTTATCGATCATTCAAGGTTACTGCAAAAATTATATCAGTATGGAATACGAGGGGTTGCTCATCAATGGGTTAGAAGTTATTTAGATAACAGAAAGCAATATGTTCAGATAAATGGCATTACATCAGAGCTACGAAATATTGCTTATGGAGTGCCACAAGGGTCAGTCCTTGGACCAAAATTGTTCAACCTGTATATCAATGATTTGGTAAATGTGTCTGACAAACTAGGTTCTGTTTTGTTTGCAGATGATACAACATTGTTTTATTCAGGGTCTGATATAAATGAAGTAATTCATGTGATAAATATTGAACTGATAAAAGTTAAAAACTGGTTTGATATAAATAAATTAACACTTAATCTTAAAAAAACTAATTTCATTCTATTTAATGATAAAGAAAATATAGACGTAATATTAGAAATAGATAACATGGAAATTCAAAGGGTAAAAGAAATCAAATTTTTGGGAGAAATGATTGATGAAGCTCTAAGCTGGAAATCACATATAGGCTATATAAAAGGTAAAATGGCCAAAGCCATTGCAGTATTATATAGCGTAAAGTTTCTACTAAATAGTGAAGGATTGTTATTACTATACAATGCACTGATTCTGCCATACTTAAATTATTGTGTAGAACTCTGGGGAACTGCATATAGAACGTATACACAACCTTTGTTTGTTTTGCAGAAAAGAGCAATGAGAATTATAGACAACACTCATAGTACAGCTCCATCTAATCCATTATTTATAAAATATAAAGTAATTAAATTTCATGATTTGGTCAACTGGAGAATATTGCATATAATGTATAAAGCAAATAAAGGTACATTGCCAAAGAATATTCAGCATATATTTGAAAAGAGAGATAGCAGTTATTCGTTGAAGGGATTTGAAATCTTCAAAAAACCTAAATTTAGAACAAGAATGAAGGAAATGAGCGTATCTGTGAATGGTGTGAAGTTGTGGAAGGGAGAATGGAAAGAGTCAAGAACTCTAAAAGTGTTCAGTCTACACATTAAATCACGTGTGTTGAGTGGATATGACAACGGACAATTGATGTGGACATAATAATTAACAAATGTGAACAGTTACGGGACTGAAAGAACTGGTGAGGGACTGCACAAATATAAATTGATATTTAAGTTTAAAAAGGGGGCAGAAATAATAAGATTTTTCTTCTATCTGCTCCCTTTCATTCAAATATATATTGTGTTTTCATGAATATTGTTTAGTATCTGTTGTGTTTTTTTTGAATGAAATAAAGACAATAAATAAAAAATAAATAAATAAATACTGAAGCAGTTAATTAATATTTTATTGACCTCACCACAATGATGCAGCAGAATGAAAGGGAACGTAGCAGGCTAGCCAACAGGAATCGTGCTGTAGAGACTAAAATAACGACCATTAGATCTAAATGAGACGTAATAGAAGACCTGATTATTACTGATTATTAACCACATTTATCAGAAACTCAGAAATCTTTGTGTGTGTGTGTGTGTGTGTGTGTGTGTGTGTGTGTGTGTGTGTGTGAGAGAGAGAGAGAGACAGTCTGAATTGTATTTTATATCATTTTTAGAAAGGTTTCAAAAACGAACAGGCAGTAGAACATATAGAATCAGAATGAAAAGAGTTTTTATTGTCATTGAGCGCAGCTCACTGACTAGGAAATTGTTTCGGTGAAAAGGTGCAACATGAACACACATAAAAAAACACATAGTAGGTAATAAATGATAAATAATATGTACAATTAGCAGCAGGATAAACAGTGCAAACATATTATTACAGTGACTGGTATGTAATGTGCAGGTTAATGTAGGTATCACCGAGTGTTCATGAGACAGACGGCCGAGGGAAAGCAACTGTTTTTGTGACGAGAGTTTTTGGTCCTGATGGATTGTAGCCTCCTGCCAGACGGAAGCATCTTAAACAGTCCGTGGCCAGGGTAAGAGATGCCGCCTGTAATTCGGCCTGCTCTCCCCCGGGTCCTTGCGGCATGGGGAGGTGGAAGACTGCAGCCAATATAGAAAAATGTTTTTGATTGAGCAAAAATGTTATTTGACATTTGTTGGATTCACTTCTATATTCTTGAGTAAACAAACATTTTCCTCTGTTGAAAAAAAAGGGCATTTATTCAATTGCAAGCTTATATGCAAATGTGTGTTTCACATATATCACACCTAATGTAATGTCGATATAAAAGATGTCCTTAAACTTTATGCAAAATTATACATTTTTAAAGATATTAGATACTAAACGTGACACACAATGTTTCCACTACAACTGTCCTGCTGTGTGTGATTTTAACAAGAGTTTTAGATTAGATTTTTCATGGCGCTCTGTGGAGTAGTGATGGGTCCAGCGACTCTGATGCATCGGCGTAGCTCGTAAAGCGAGACCCCGTGTCGGTCCGTATATCATTTAAGAAGAAGTCACGTGACCGACACTGCTGCTGTTTCACCTGGCACTGAAGCGCCAAACGTGTTTAAATGGAGGAGCGTCTCCATCTTTGACTATCCTCATCTTTTTTTTCCTTTTACTGTCTTTCATAATTGCTTTTGTCTTTTTATTATTATTATTATTATTATTATATTTTTTTTACTATTTTATGATCTTATGATCTTTGTTTTATTCCTATCATGTTTTTTATAATTATGTTCAGCACATTGGGCTTCCAGTAAGGTTGTGGATGGCGCTTTATAAATAAAATAAAATTGGATCTGACAATGCGACGAGTTTCTGTCAAAAGTTCATCTTTTTGAAGCAAATTGATGCCACTCTTACATCATGGAGCCAGAAAGAAACCGAAGGTGGTCGATAAGGGATCATTTTGTTATTATATCTGCAAATAAGTGATTTGTTTTTATTTCTTTGTTTCATCATTTAAGATATTAAATAATGCAGTGTACAATATGGAATCCAATTAAAACGTTTTATTGTTTACATTCTAGCTGACTGAATCAGGAGACATGATTTTAGGTTTACCTGCAATGATGTTTATGATCCAGCAGGTGTCAGTAGACCAACATAGTGATAGTATGGATACAGTTTGGGTTATGTGGTGCAAAGCTTCATGAGGCCTCATCTACTCATCACTACTGTCGAGTACTTTTAACAGCTTTTTTATTTAATTTTCCCAAACAGACAGAGAAAAAAGTTCTGGCCGAGCAGGATGAGAAGGACGACGCTGTTAGGATGAGAACAAACTTATCAATTCCTCTGCTGCCGGAGAAAGAGGAGGACAAAAAACTGGCAGCGCTACTAACCTACCAGACTTCTGACTGTAAGTCCTGCTTTTGAATAAAAGTTCATACATGTGTTCAGATTAAATACTGGTTAGCTTATGTTGTCATTCCAATGTCATTCTAAAGTTCTCCAATTTACTCGTGTCTTTTCTTCAGCATATGAGGACAGACAGCACAGCAAGCGGAGGGAGATCTCTTCTCGCTCCTGGTTCAATTCCGCCTCATCGCCAGCAGGAGGTGCTGCAGGCAGCCTGCTCCAGAAGCTGAGCCTGCAAGGGAAAGAAGCAGCTGTGGCCAAAGCCCTAGGATCATCGCACAGCCCCTTAATCCGTAAACGATCTGAATCTGGGAGTAAAATCGAAGTCTGTGCCACCATCACCCGCAGAGTCTCACAGTCAGAAGCCGCACCGATGGAGGAAGCCTCGCCCACAGAAACCACATCTGGAGAAGTGACAACAGCAGAGAAGAAGGGCTGTGGTTTGCGTGAGGTCCAGACCCAAAACACGGCTGTGAGGGACTGTATAAAAGAAATGGAGCAGGCTTCGTGTTCCAGAGGTGTCACGTCTTTAGTGGCTGATTACAGCGACTCAGATTCAGACTCTACTCAGTGACGCTGAAATTATAAAGCTAAACGGGACCGTTTCTGTTTCCAGTCACATGTCACTTTCCCTTGTAAAAAAATAATATTCTGTTCTAGAAAGAAACATTTTCTTTGTGTTTCTAAAGGATTTTAGACATTTGTCACACTAAATAAATAATTATTTCCCTAAATGTCACCTATGTGATCTGGTGATGAAACAAACTGAAATAAAAGAGAAACATTGTAGAAATACTGAGGCTTATTTATGGAGAATTTACAGATATCTGAAAGTTAAAAAGGTTAAATATTTAATGTTTTCTGTCTTAAGTTCTATTAAGAACAAATCTAGTATTCATTCATTCATTCATTTTCATGTATTTTAAATCTATAATAAATTAAACATTCTTTATTGTGTTACCCCACCACCACACACACACACATTTCCTTCACTGTCTCTGTAGGTCAAATGAAGCAGAGTTAAAACCAAACGAGATGTAAGTTTTGGAATCTCTACAGAAAAACAGATGAAACAACTTTATGTAATCATTGGAAGTTCCTCTTTTCCAGCTGACCGACTGACTGGGATCAAAGGGTGCTCTATGGGTTCTTGTATTTGTTCCCTATTGATCAGACCCCCCCATGAGGTTTTTTTAAATCTTTGACCAGTTTCTGTGGGACCACAGTCCACTGAAACCAGTCACCATGGTTCAGTGGGGACTTCACAGCTTTGTGTTTTTTACGCTTTTCTTCAAAGCACATGGACAGATTAATTCTCAGAGGCTTCGGGGGTGAGCTTCACTTCTCTGATTCCCCTCCACTTTTAGGATAAATTTGTTTTTAACTAATTAAACTTTTTATTGCAGACACTGGAGCAGCAGGTAAGTATCTGTAAACGGATCAGACAGAATAAAGCCCCCGATGGCTTCAGGTAAATTTTCTCACTCTCCTCAGGTTTAAGTCATTCGAGAGTTATTTGGAAACCCACCCGTAAGTAATCAATCCTGAGTCTTTTAACCAGACAATAATTATGCACAAATGGTTAATTTTTTTCATATGATTGTATTTATTGTTTTAGACATTTAGTCACTGGATCAAAAATGTAAAGTTTGATTTGTGAAAACCAGATTAAAACATGGTTTAGTGTTTTTTTGTGTGTGTCGTGGCCAAAACAAACTCTTGTTTCGTTTATTTGCAGGAATCAAAAACCGATTAGTTCTTCACCAAGGTACCGTTCACTAAACACCATTATTTTCCACCAACAACAAAACTAGATTAAATAAAATTAACAACTCGTGTTATTTTGTTGTCTTTAGTTTCTTGTGACTTTTCTTTAACCACACTTTGACACCACTAGTGAACACACATTTATTTAGCTAAAACAAAGTATTTCATTCCTTTTCTAGCTTGGTTTAAAGCTTTTTTCTTTTGTCAAATTATGTAATAAAACTTTCTTGTTATGATATCTATGCCCTTTTATAGTAGAAAGGTCCATGTTGTTCAAGTAGAACTTTTTATGCACAATTAGGAATTCAATGTCTGCTTTTTTATCGATACGTCTTAATTTTCGATGCCGATATCATTAGGAAATTACCATCGCACATTTTCTGTCATGCATACTAAAACTTTAAACATATGTGCAAAATGTGAATACTGATTCAATTTAAGTTCGACCAGTTGTTCCAAACAAACAAAAATATCTCCAAAACAAAACCTTGGACTCCTCAGATTTTGACATTGAGTGAGAGAAGATGCTGAGGGCTTTGATATATGACATGTGCATGTATGTAAAAGTTGTGTTGATGCCAATAAGTTCCAATAATGTTAATATCAGCAACAACAAAAGACCCCCCCACCTAATCAAAACTAATCTGACCATTTAAAATCTTCACTTGCCTCACACGTTTTTATTTGTAAGGTTCACCGTAGTGTCTCCGGACATCCTGAGGACAGACAGTCAGGAGAACCTTTTTTTAAAGGCAGATGGAGCTACCAACCCCATCGACGTCTCCATCTTTGTCATGGACTTCACCAAAACCTTCGAGCTCTTTCGGGACTCCGTCACACTCAATCAGGAAAATGGCTTCTACTCCCTGAAGAGCATTCAGGTGCTTCGGCTGGCTCGTGATTTCATATTTCTTCAGTTGATTTAAATATTAATGTTTATTTTTGCTCAAGGTTTCATCTGATCGTTTGAACCGTGAGGAGAAAAGGAACAAGTTTGTGTATCTGAAAGTGAGTTTCGGGGCTCACCACACAGAGGAGAAGGCACTGATGGTGTCCTTCCAATCCGGGTACATCTACATCCAAACAGACAAGCCCATCTACAAACCCGGAGACACCGGTGAGAACAAAACCAGTCACTCACTCAGGCTTCCCAGTAGCTGTAATTTAAACTTTGGTTTGTGTATTTTCTGGTTCTTTTCACCAGTTCGATTCAGAAGCTTTGTGTCGTCTCCCTTCTTTAAGGCCATGGACAGCTCCATCTCAATAGAAATCCAGGTTAATTCCCAGCAGTGCCTGTTAATAAAGAGTCTAATCTCATGTAATGATTAATGTAAACATCTGGATTTATGTTTTGTTTCAGGATCCAGCCGGTGTGGTGGTCAAACAGATCCCCATGTCCAGAGCTGTTGACGGCGTCTTCACTGACAAGTTTCCTCTTTCTGAAATCGCCAAGTAAGGCCAACTAGATTTAGCTCCTTCTGTTCTGCTGGGGAATGTTCAAAATTTCACCATAAAGAGATTTTTTTTTATCTGTTTAGAATTTAGACCACTTCTATTTTTCATTCTTTAAAAAAAATCAAATCAAAAGCAGCATCACGGATTACATATTGTCATAATTCTTAAGTTTAGGGACATTTTTGAAACATTTACCCATCTGCATTCAGACTTACTAACTGCAATGTTTACCTTAGGCTTCCATGTAACCCAGTTAAAGTTGTGCAATGTGTGCAAACAAAAAGGAGGAAAAATTCCCTTCAATGAAGGAATGTTTTTCCAAAAACTTATCTATGATTCGATGTTAAAGTGAAATGAAGATTTTCAGCAAATTGAAGGACAAATTTGTTATTTTTAAGGGTTTGTATGTCTAAAAACATCACACTATACCTGAAATAAATCAAATTTACCAGTTAGACCATCAATCTGTTTCTTTAGTTTTATTTGCTCTATAATTGTTTTGCAGTGAAGGAGCGTGGGTGTTGACGGCAAAGTTCGACAACTGGCAGCAGAACACTTTCACCTCCAAGTTTGAGGTGAAAAAATATAGTAAGAGAAGTTAATCCGAGTTTACTTATTCTAAAGAGATTAGCATTTTATTTCTTATTCCTTCTAGTGACTCTCATTGTATATAAAGTTCTGGACATCTTTCGGTAACACTTTACAATAAGAGTCCCTTTATTAACAGTACTTGGTGCATTATTAAGCATTAATAAACAAAGGGTTTCTTTATTAGTGTTCCGAATATTGTTAACTATTAAGTGCCCTTAAGTTTAGGACAAAAGGCCAGGGGGCGTGTGTGCTTAACAATGCATTACTTAATAACATTATTGTTAAGCAGTTGTTAGTATTTTATTTAATAGTTTATTAATGCTTAATAATGCTCTATATAAAGTCAAGAAAGGGGCCAAATATTACCCATCTTTCAACTTTATCTGCTTTTTAATTAATGAAAAGTGATTGAAAAGTTTTCAAAATAAAGTACTTAATTTTTTTTAGTTCTTCCCACGTTCAACGTTACACTGACACCAAAGACGACCTTCCTTAGTTGGGACGACACTGAACTGGTCGTAGAAATTTCCGCCAGGTTGGTTTAATAAAAACACACACACACACACACATAAATATATATATATATGTGTGTGTGTGTGTGTGTGTGTGACATTTATAATGTGTCGCCATTTTGACATCAAAAGTTAAGTATTTCTGAGACACGAGTTATTTTCTGTGGATTTATTTTAGGTATCTGTACAACGAGCCTGTCCAGGGGACAGCTTACGTCGTGTTTGGAGTTAAAATCAACCAAGAGATGAAAAGATTACCATTGATGAAGCAGGTGTCAGATGTAAGTCTGAGTCACTTATTTACAGCTGTTTGGAGATTATGATGTTTGACTTCTGTTAAGCGCCACGACTCAGACGATGTCAGACAACTGAAACCTGACACCTGACAACTGAGATCTGACATCTGAGACCTGACACCTGACAACTGAGATCTGACATCTGAGACCTGACACCTGACAACTGAGATCTGACATCTGAAACCTGACACCTGACAACTGAGATCTGACACCTGACAACTGAGACCTGGCATCTGAGACCTGACACCTGAGACCTGACACCTGACACCTGACACCTGAGAACTGATACCTGACACCTGAGACCTGACACCTGACACCTGAGGATGTCCTAAAATGTATGCCATACAACTGAGACCTATTGATCTATAACGGTAGTGCGACTCGTGTTGTGAATGACCCCAGTCACCAATTCTTGTCATGTGTCTATGTATGTATGTCTGATCCTGGAATTGTCTGTACTGAAACAATTAATTTCCCTCTGGGATTAATAAAGTATTTTTGAATTTGAATTGAATACCCGACACCTGACACCTGAGGATGTCCTAAAATGTATGCCGTACCTATGGCCATCATTAATTTGGTTGATTTATTTATTTTTTGCCTGGTTCTGGGTGAACTTATCTTCTTCTTGTGCAGCTGGATGGAGGAACTGTCACTCTGACTATGGAGGAGATCAAGGCTTCTTACCCTGATATTAAAGTGTTGGTGGGTCACTCAGTCTATGTGAAGGCCTCTGTGCTCACCCAGACAGGTAAGAGCCATCTCAGTCTGTACGTCTGTGTTAGTGGGCTCAATGGTTGGTGGAAAAATAAAGTAAAATGTCTCCAAATCACAAACACGTACAGTAGATGGAGTATGGCTGATTGGTTTGGGTTCAAAGGACGATGTCTTTGTGCTTAGATAAATAATCTGGAGTCAACACTATAAATCTGATGTAATCTGAGGTTAAATGTGAATTAGAGTGTCATCTGATCTTCTGGACAACCGTTGAGTCCGAATCCAGATGCAACTGTTTGTGAGAAATGTGACGTGGATAGTTGAAGCACTGATCACAGATTTGAGTCACAGCAAGAACTGAACATATTTTAATTCCGAAAAGTTCCTTTCTGTTTCAGTGTCGTGTTTGAACGACGTTCTGAAGACTGTACTTTTGTGTGGGATTTATTTTTCCACCTATGCAGGAAGCGATCTGGTTGAGGCTGAGAAGACCGGCATTAAAATCGTGGAGTCCCCGTATGATTTATCCTTCAGGGACACTCCAAAGTACTTCAAACCAGGGTTGCCATTTGACGTCACCGTAAGCAAGCACCACGTTTTGGGTCATCACTAAATACTTTTTTGGTTCCGATGAAGCTTTCTCTTAGCCTGGAAGCCCTCCTATCAAATGAAGGTCTTGATTCTAGACTAGCTTTCTCTTGTTTTCTAGATTCTGGTGAGCCACCATGACGGTTCACCGGCTCATAACGTCATCTTGAAGCTGACCTTTCTGGATACACCGCTGATAGTGTCATCCGGCTCTGTCAGAGCCAGCATCAATATGCCAAAAGACAGAATGCCACAAACCATCACTGTGAGTACAGCCACGTCACACTTTACTCATAAGAGAACGTCTTTGGAACGTTGAAACAGCAACAAGCTAATAACATTTTTTTTCCTCTTCAGGCTGAGACTGCACATGCTGACCTGAGACCAGATCAGCAAGCCAGAAAACAGATCACTGTTATTCCCTACGCCAGCTTTGACGAAAACCAGAACTACCTTTACATCTCCACAGGCAGCAACAGGGTGTCTGTAGGAGAGAGTCTGTCCATGCAGTTCTCTGTCTCCTTATCCGACAAGACACTGAGAGAGCACATCAAACAAATCACCTACCTGGTGGGAGGAAAACCCTCATTTTTATTTCTCGTAATTTATCAAATTTATAAGAAAGTGTAGCAATCCCTTCATGCTCCCTTCCAAATGTGCAGGTGGTCAACAAAGGTAAAATAATAGCTGCTAAGAACCAGGATGTAATGGATCAGCTGGTCACCACTGTTGACTTGGCGGTAACTTCGGAGATGATGCCATCGTTTCGTGTGGTGGCGTTCTACAGCCTTCCCTGGGTGGGACGAGAGGAAGTGGTTTCGGACTCCGTCTGGATCGATGTGGTGGATACGTGTGTCAGAGGGGTGAGGGAGTCAAACGTCAGGGTCACACGTTATATCAAAGCAGCTGCTGGACATGCTCCATATTCAATATTTGTGTTAAAATTCAGTATTTCTGTAAAACAAAAACTATCTATTTGAGGCATTTGAGGACCGTCAAAGTCTTTATCAAAATGAAGCGGAGAGGACACATTTGTGCTGTTTCCTCCCTTCTTTTCCTTTGTTAGTCCACATTTGTTGCGTTTTTAAAACTTTATTTGAAATTGTAGCTCAAAGTTGGGCCAGTTGACGGCATGCCCAGAGACTACACACCTGGGAAGAGGTTACACTTTCAGATCAGAGGAGAGCCGGGGTCAAAGGTCAGCCTGGTGGCAGTGGACAACGCCGTTTACCTCCTGAACAAGGACAGACTAACACAGAGGAAGGTCTGTGTTTGTAACTGTTTCATTTGTTACTGAAAGAGTAAAATAAGTGTAGAGAATAAAAATACCCGTTAAAATGGTGTGGTGTCACAAAACAAAGAAGCCAAACTGAAACGTATTCGTCACTTTGTCCAGATTTGGGACGTGGTGGAGAACGGAGACATCGGCTGCACCAGAGGAGGGGGTCGAGATGCTTCTGGAGTTTTTACAGACGCAGGACTTGTTTATCTGTCCAACACTGGCTTCAAAACTCCAACCAGACAGGGTGAGAACAAACAGATCTTGGTTTGAGGGATTTTCACCTCTTCTTTTTTTAAAATACTGTTTTTTATTAAACGTTCGATAAGAAGCTGTTGTAGAAATTTTCTGAGTCCGTTTCCTCTTAGAGCGTATGACGGTTTGTTAGCTCTGAATGTTTGCTGAGAATGAGGCATTCCATAAGCTGGTAGTCTTTAAACATTAAGTAAGATGGTTGTTTTGCTATTTTTTCTAAAGTTTCAGTTTTGAAATGTGTCAAAAACCTGTTGACTTGAACCAAACCTCTCAGAGATAGGGCTGACTCTCTACTTTTGTTTTCTAGTAACAAATACTTTCTCTGGTATTTCATTGGTTGAAATTCTGTTTTTGTGGCTCAGCTTTGCTTTCTACTGCTGTGAATCTTTTACATTCAAACTTTTTTCATGCTTAAATGATATTTTTATTTTCTTTTATTAAGATGCATCTCTTAATGTGCGTCTAACGTTAAAAGAAAGGTACATATCAACAAAAATCACCACTTAAATTTTACTTCTACCCTCTCTGCTCATCTAATTTTAGTACTGCAGTGTCCCAGCAGTGCCAGAAGGAGGCGCTCTGCTGAACTTCTAGCCCGTAAAGCACGTCTAGGTGAGTCTAACAAAAACATCTGTTTTTTGTTTTATGTCATTTAGGTTTTGTGTTTTATTAATCATCAGTTGCCGTTTTATTTGTTCAGGTTGGTTGAAGAGGATATACGTGTCTTAACCTCCTGAGACCTGAACCTGTATTTGATGCGATTTAAAAGAAAAAATACATCTAACTATTACAGAGTAGTCTACTCTCATTAACAGAAACAAAATTACAAATATTAAAATGAAATAAAAATTACATTAAATTAAAAAATTGTCTAATTTCCGATAAAAAAGAAAGAAAACAAAAAAAATGTTTAAGTCAATGCATGTGTCTATAAATAATAACAAAAAGGTCTAAAGTGAAGATGATAAAATTGTTAAAGTGCAAGGAGCCAATGTCCACATATGTGGACACAGGGCCCTATAAATTGTTCTTCGAACAACCTTTGCTTGGATAGATTTGATTGGGCAGATGAGGTAATGACTAATCACTGTAGGGCCAGTTGAAATTTGGATTATGACCAATTTAAAACAGTTTCAATCTCTAAAGCTTTATTATTCATGCAAATATTTATGCAGCCATCAGTTCTGTAGCACGAGTTTTCCATTTAAATAAAACCACACCCAAATAGTTTTATTCTTCCCCTCCACCTCCAGAGAACCACTACAAGGAGAAGCTTCAGCATCGCTGCTGCAGAGACGGTCTGAGGGATATTCCAATGCCGTACTCCTGCACTCGGCGCTCCTTGTACATCACCGAGGGCCCAGAGTGCCTACTGGCTTTCCGTTACTGCTGCGCCACCTACAGGGACCAGGTGTTTGACACAGCGATTCCCACCACCCCTCCACCTATGACCACTGCTCCTCCAACAACCACTCCTCCACCCACCTTCTCTTTCCACCCTCAGCAATTTGTGTTAAAACAACCACGGATACCTCTCTCACGACATAATTTTGGTAAAAGCTCTTCAGGTGTATCAATCTCCAAATTATTTTTATTTTTCATAATCTTAAGTCTATATAAATTTTGTTTTCAACTAGTTTTACACCACTGTGTTTAATTACCGGTCTTAACAGAGTGGGGAAGAGTGGAGAGGCCGCAGGTAGCAGGACGGAGTATGCCTGGAATGTCCTATTCAAACGCAGAACAGTTAGATAGAGTGAGACCTGGAAGTCCTCCTGTTCTCGAGGCCATGGAGGGAACAGTTCCTAACTTGTACGAAGAAGACTCAGTGGAGGATGAAGAGTGGGAGGAATACATGGAGGAGACCCAAGTGTACGTTCGATCCAAGTTCTACGAGTCCTGGTTGTGGATGGACGTTAGTCTGCCGAGCCAAGTGGACAGGGACGGGTGAGTGAGACAAATACAAGCAGTGGGAGAAAGTAACTCCTCCCTTACTTTAAACAAAGGTTTCAAATATTTATATTAGGCAAGTTCAGCTATATTTTTTGGATCTGATTTTCTGCAGAAAATGAAAATCTGAAATTGATCAACAGGTTTGCGTTTAAAAATGTGGACAACGCGTTACCGGACAGCATCACGGAGTGGGGGGTTCTAGCTATCAGCGCATCACTTCAAACAGGTACAGTGAACTGCAGGAGTAAACGGACCCTGTTTTTACATTTTTACTGCCTTACCACGTCTTGAAACAATTTAAACTTTTTTTTCTTTTTTATGTACAAACAAAAACTGTCCACAAGGCCTTAAACGTTGGCTCTCTAAACGCGTCAAAAAGCAACAGTTGATTATGATTTAACAAAACTGACTTGACTCGAAACAAACTTGACGTGACTTGAAGCAGACTTTTAAATCACACTTGATTTGAAGCTTGAATCAGACTTGACTTAATTTAAGGCAAACTTGACTTGAAACAAACTTGACGTGACTTGAAATTTGAATCAGGTTTGACTTGATTCAAAGCAAACTTGACTTGAAACAAATTTGTCTTAGAAAAACTTGACGTGACTTGAAATAGACTTGACTTGAAACTTAAATCAGACTTGACTTGATTTAAAGCAACACTGACTTGACTTTATGCAGACTTGACTTAAATAAAACTTGGCTTGAAACTTGAATCAGACGTGACTTGATTTAAGGCAAACTTGACTTCAAATAAACTTGGCTTAAATCAGACGTGACTTAAAGCAGACTTGACTTGAAACTTTAATCAGACTTGATTTGACTTAAAGACTTGAACTGACTTATGCATACTTTCAGCTGACTTGAATCAGACTTGACTTGACTTCGTATAAAGCAAACTTGACTCGACTTGAAACAAACTTGACTTGACTTTAAGCAGATGTGACGTAAATCAGATTTGATTTGACTTAAAGAAGACTTGACTTGAAACTTGAATCAGACTTGACTTGACTTCGTTTAAAGCAAACTTGACTTGAATTGAAGGAAATGTGACGTAAATCAGACCTGATTTTACTTTACTGTAAGAAGACTTGACTTGATTTATGCAAATTTGATTTTTCTGAAAAAAGACTTGGCTGTGGATAATTTGGCATCAGAGCTGTAAATACAAGGAGCCTAAATCATGGAGGCGCAGTTGGAGATGGTTGAACAGCCACAGGGGAGCATGGTTAGTTGATTAGGTGGAGAAAGACATGAAAACAGTCCCAAGAACTACAACCACAACATCATGTCAATGCTCATGTTTAAATCATTAATTAGGTTCTGGCTGTAGGTTTCTGTGTTGCCGAGCCGTACAACGTGAGAGCGTGGAAACGTTTCTTTGTTGACCTGAGGCTGCCTTATTCAGTGGCGAGGAACGAGCAGATTGAGATCAAAGCTGTGGTCCACAACTATGGATCCGATGATCTGCATGTGAGAGAATCGTTCACATCCTTTATTTAAAGTATTTTTATGTTGATGTTCACTATCCTGGAGCTGTTCTCTGCTCAGGTCAGGGTGGTGCTAATGAAAACTGAAGGGATGTGCAGTGTTGCTTTTAAGGACAGACACACACAGGAAGTGTCATTGGCAGCCGACTCTTCTGTGGCGGTGACGTACACCATCGTACCGCTGGTGGTGGGAAAGCTTCCACTGGAAGTAATGGTGGTTGGCCGAAACAACGCGGGGGGTGACCGTGTCCAGAAGTTTCTGAGAGTAGTGGTGAGTCTGTCTCTGCTTCAAAATAAAATCAGCTATGTATTTTATTTTTAGTGATTTTAAATATACATTTACAAACAAATCCGATGTTGTCTTTTCCTGACCCTAACAGATGGATGGAGTGGAGAAGACTAAAGTTTGGAGTGCAGTGTTGAACCCATCTGCTGAAGGAGGTATTGGTACCATTTTTCTGCTTTTGCAACATCCAGAAGCTCCAGTGGAGCTTTAATATTCTTTTATCTCCTACAGGAAGTCAGAGGGTTCTAGTAAGTAAAATTGACCTGAAATCAGTTGTTCCAAACTCCGTACCAGAGACGTTCATCAATGTCAGAGGTGAGTCATGGAGCCAAAAGACTAAATAATCAAAAATATAATCATGATAAGTCCCTATCATCCTCTCCATTTGTTTCCAGGCAACGTACTGGCTGACAGCATCGACAACTCCATCAGCGACGACTCTCTGGCGGCTCTGATCCGGATGCCCGGAGGCTGTGTGGAGCAGAACCTGGCCACCATCACTCTGCCACTCATTGCCACTCTCTATCTGGACCGTACCAACAACTGGGAGACTGTGGGGGTGGATCGGAGAGCTGAAGCCATACAATACATCAGAAGAGGTCAGAAGAAAGTGTTTATTCCTGGATATTAGAAGCAAAAATCTGAATATTTAAAGGATTTCTTAAATTTGAAGATAACATGGATGGATTTTTGACACATTCATGGATAAAAACACAGATTTACTGTTGATAGAAACAAATGCTTTCATTATGATCTCATTTTAGTGTCAGATGTTTTACTTTGCAGTGGTGCAGTGGGTAGAGCTGTTGCCTTGCTGCAAGAAGGTCCTGGGTTCGCTTCCTGGCCTGGGATCTTTCTGCATGGAGTTTGCATGTTCTCCCTGTGCATGCGTGGGTTCTCTCCGGGTACTCCGGCTTCCTCCCACAGTACAAAACATGACTGTTAGGTTGATTGGTCATCCAAATTGTACTTAGGGTGTGTGTGTGTGTGTGCATGATTGTTTGTCCTGTGTGTCTCTTTGTTGCCCTGCGATGGACTGGCACTCTATCCAGGGTGTACCCCGCCTGATTGCCCATTGACCGCTGGAGATAGGCACCAGCCCCCCCGCAACCCTACATGGACAAGCGTGTTCAGACAATGGGTGGATGTTTTACTTTGCTGCATCATCATTTTAGAAGAAGAAGAAGAAGAAGAAGAAAAGATCTTTTCTATAGCGCCTCTCAAGATAAAAATCATGAGGCGCTTCACAAAAACAAAAAATGTAAAAATATAAAAAATAATTTAGAAAATGATTAAAAATTAGGACTGGGACTTGATTAAATGTTTTTATCTAATTAATTACAGGCTTTGTAATTAATTAATCTCAATTAATCACATTTTAATCGTTCAGGAAAATGTGCTCTCAAAGTAAAACTTTTAATTAAAATTATGAGACAGAGAATCAAACATTAGACATGGTTATTACTGTAAACTAAAGCTTTTAATAAAAAAATGCATTTTAATTATTCAAATGTCACTGTGTGATATGAAACAAACCCAAATCAACTAAAATTTATAATCACAAATAGAAAACACCTGCAAAGTGTTCCTGAGCCTTCAAATAGTCTCTCTGTCTAGTTGAATGACTGAAATAAATTTGACTTTGCACCAGATTCTAATTTTTCCAGTTTCACTTGTTTGTATAATCGGGAGTTTTTATTTTATTTCTACTCATAATGTAGTAAAAACACATAAATAATAATCCTTCAAAATGAAAGTAGAACAGGCACAAATATGATCTAGGACTTAAATGTACTAACTTTTAACACCAGAGCAGGCATGACATATTCTGAGAATGATCAGGAACACTAACTGGTTCCAGTTGGATGACTGGAGGTTGATGGGATGATAAAAGATCATGGCGAGGAAATAATGATCTGACGAACAGGTGAGCGGACCTTCGTTACATGGGAAGTCCTGATGTCACGTTAAGAAGGGGATGCTGCAGACCCACAGATTCACACCTGCAGCAGCGAATCTGGTGTGATCTCCAGCCTGATCACAACTTCCTCGTTCCTCGCTGCCCCTGATGCACTTAAGCATCCGACCCTTAGCTGATGACAGCTTCAACACACCTTGCTGCTTAATGATAGTAATGCATGTGATGTTTAGACAGTGACTCGTCTCAGAAACACATAATTCCCAGACAGAATTGTTTAGAAAATCATCAGAAAAGTTTCAGAGTGTTTCTGTTTTAACTTAAACTTCTGTTTTCAACTTTAAGACACGTTGTTTGTGATTCTTTACAGAGTAGTGAGAACACGGAGCGTTCTCCTAGCGGCAGACAGGTGCCTCTCGTTTGTCTGACTACTTTCATAAATTACTGTTAGGGCACAGAATTATGCTGTCTGGTGCTTTCAGCGCTGCACAGATGTTACGTAAATGTTAAAAATATAGCTTACCGCAACTTTTGTAAAGTTTCCGATGCCACCGGGCAGCCGCAACAGAGACGATCTCTGAAAAATGTCCACGACACGGACTCCGTTGTTGTCTGGAAGTTTTATTATTTCCAAGTTGAGAAAAGAGGCGGACGTGTTTCCTAAATCCTGCATCAGTCCAAGCAAGGCAACTTCTTTCTGTTTTTATTCCATTTTAGTAGCCATTAGCACTGTACACAGTGATATTCAGTCTACGAGGAAATTGTGCAATGACAAAGGTTCCGCCGTGCTTGAAATGCAAGCTGCGATTAAATGCGTTAATTTTTTTTAACGCGTTATTTTTTTCTAAGTAATTAATCGTAACTAACGCGTTAAAGTCCCGGCCCTATTAAAAATATATTTTAAATGAACAAAAAATAGACAATTGTGATTAAAAATGTAAAGAAAGAGAGAGTGAATAGGAAAGAGGGAAATCAGTGGATCCTGAGGAAGGTGGAATGAGTTGGGAGAGCAGAACAAGGAGAGGGTGATGAAGGTGATGATGTAATTATTTACATTAAATAATTTTATGGTTTTAGGCTACGAGAACCAGCTGGCCTACAGAAGAAGCGATGGCTCTTATCCGCCCTACAGAAGTCAAGGAGCAAGCACGTGGTGCCGTATATTATACATGGAGTCATATTTTTCACAGACGATGAAGAAGATTAGATTTAAATAATTAATTTAATGAGTTTAAATGCATTTCAGGATCACAGCATACGTAGTGAAGGTGTTCTCCATGGCTTACTCCATCATTGGCATAGACGAGCAGCAAGTGTGCGACCCTCTGCTCTTCCTGCTGAACAACAAGCTCCACCCTCACAAAGGAGTTTACAAAGAAGACAACCCAGTTTACTCCACCACGATGACTGTGAGACACACACAGGAACACACACACTCAAACCATGCGATTATAAGCACCACTTGTAGCTTTTGGTTTCCCTTTTTTGGTCTGATTTGTCCCATAAAGTGTTGAAACGTAACTTTTATTTAAAGCCTCCCCCATCCTCCCCCTCCAGGGCGGTCTCCGTGGCGACGACCCAGGCATAACATTGACAGCCTTCGTCCACATAGCGCTCGCTGAAGCCAAGCAGGCGGGAATCGGCTGCAGCAGTTCAGGTGTAGATATGGAGGTAAATCCTTCACAAGTACACACAAATCTGGGGTTTTACCATCTTGGCTTTTGGGATTCTTTTTTATCAGGTGCATGACTATCAGTAAATGTTGATGCTGTTCTTTCTGCTGTAGGCTGCTAATCAGTGGACGACTGACTTCCTGCAAAAAGCTCTGCTGATCCGTGGGAGGAGGCCGTACACGGTGGCCATCACCTCCTACGCTTTGGCTCTGATGGGGACCCCTGACCACCTCCACCACTATTTACTCCAAGCTGCATCCCCAGGTGTCCACACGGCCATTTTGAGTCCAGTTAATATTTTCATACTCGCAGAAGAACTCTCCTTTAGCCTGTTGGCTGTAATTTCTTTTTTAAGCACGTCAGGAACCAAAATTATTAGATGTATTTAAAATTATACCTTTCTGTTTTCTTGCTTTTAGCACCCCCTAGTGTCCGTTAGTCAAAGCAAACGTGAACGCTGTGCGTTCGCCTTTTAACACCTTAATCTAAGAGCTGAAATGTCTCCTCAGCCTTCATTCGTTTCTACAGGAGTGATTCATCACTAAATCAAACAAATCAGTTGTGTTCACGATCTAAAACATGCAGGGAACGTGATGGAAACAGATTCCAGCACTGGCTTGTCAGCTCCCCTTTACTTAGTTCAACATTCTGGCCACAGAGGGCGGTGGGGTCGGAGTGACATTTCATTAGTCCTGTAAAGGGTCATTTTAGCACATACTGGCTAAAGAAAACGATTAAAAAATATAAAAAAGTTTAATTGTATTCATTTGAACGAAAGCGGCTGCGGTATGCAAGCCTAGCAGCTGAAGCAAAGGGGAGGGGTTGGAACGTGAAGGTGTGGCCAGTGGAAGTGGGATGCAGAGGTTTTGTAGCCAGTTCCATAATTAGGCTTTTAAAGGAAGTAGGGATCAGAGGCCAGGCCCAACGGAGGGCAATCAAAGAGCTTGCCACTGCAGCGGAACAAAGCAGTCACTGGCTGTGGCTTAAACGAAGGGATGCTATTTGGGCTGCCAAATGATGACGTGGTGCTTCTGAGTGACACACACCTGGGTCTGATCAACCAGGGGTGGGCCAACCCCGGCAGAGGGTGTATTGTGATAAGTGGCCGAAACACCCAATGAGGTCGGGGCACACAACTGAAGATGTGTCACGCCAGTTTCACCACGAAATCTATGGTAAAGCGCACTCCACCAAGTTCTGAACTATTGTGCTGAAAGGGATCTGTAACAACTAGTCCTAAGAAATTGTCTTTAAAAATGTTTTGAAAAAGCTGATAACGTGTGAATGAATCTATTTCCAAGTAACCTTCTCCTCTTCCTGCTCATTTAGACAAGAGCCACTGGCCCGACCTTGAAAATCACTTGTTCACACTGGAAGCGACCGGCTATGCTCTGCTCGCTTTGGTTAAGTTGGAACGCATGGATGATGCTGCAGCTCCCTTTAAGTGGCTGAACAGTCAGAGGAGACGAGGCGGCGGCTACGGCTCGACGCAGGTATCGGCACAGTATTTACCTTGTAGTAAACAAAGGGTTAAACAATAAGAGTGAATAATCAGATATGTTCGTGTCAAAGGAAAGCTGTTAACCTCGTGTTTTCTCTCCTCTCAGTCCACCATGGTAGTGCTCCAGGCACTGTCAGAGTACATGATCAAAAGACCGCCTCCTGATGACCTTAGTCTGAACGTGGACCTCAGGATGACGGGACGCAAAGAAACGCGTTATCACTTTAACCCCAAAACAGCCTTCGCTGCTCGCTCCTCCAGGGTGAGTGTGTGAGGAGATAACACACACCCATTAGTGAAGATGGAGATTTGATCAGAGGCTCATCAATTTCTTTGTCCTTTTCTCTGTTTAGCTGCCTACTGGTGTTGAACTGGAAGTAGTGGCTCAAGGGAGCGGACAGGGAATACTCGAGGTTTGGACACATTTATGCATTTTTGTCACATTTGTATTAAACCAGGTTTTCAGAACGGATTTATTTACTAAAATACTTAAAATTTTCCCTCCAGGTTGTGACTCATTACAACCAGCTGCACGAGGTGGCCGAGAACGCACCCTGCAATGACTTTGAGCTCAGTGTCAGTCTCGACGAATCCAGCGGTAAAACCATCTCAAAATGTCTGCGGGTTTTGATCGTTTTGGTTTTAGCAAAAAGTAACTAAAGGAATTTCAGTGCTGTTATCAAAGTCTGTAACAGCAGAAGGTCGAGTTAATAGTGAACATTTATTAAAATATATACCGGACTCTGTTATAAACCAGGAGAAAAATAAGCAGCTAGATTAAAATTCACTCATTTAAACTAAAACGGGTAAAAAGAGACAAATGTGCCCAAAATCCATCTTATTTTAAATGTTTTTACAGATTTTATGGTCTCCTTAACCTAAACATCTAATTATTAAACTGTGACATAAATGAAATAACAGTTAAATGTGTGCTTTGATTGCCTTTTTTTTGCACCGCATCAGAAAAGCCTCCAGCTGATGTGGTGAAGTCCTACCAGATCACCATCAAAGTCAGGTGAGCCAACATTCAGTCATTCAAATGTCATAAACAATATCACAAGTAATTCCCAATTATCAATTAACATTTGTAGAGTAAAAAGCTGCTAAATCAAAGTTTTGTTCATGGAAGTTGACAATAAGGTTATTAGTTTGAGGGCTATGGATCAGTCTGACCTCTCTTTTTTTCTCTTGATATTTATTTTACTGCATCCTTAACGACACATTTTTTACTCGGTTTAACCTGCCGTCACCTAATCTGAAGTCTGATCTTCTATCAGTGTTAATCTGTCTCTTTTACAGGGCGTTAGGACCCAGAGATGTCAGAATGGTGGTTCTTGATGTTACTCTCCCCACCGGATTCCTCCCAGAAAACTCCGACCTGGAGAAGGTAAAGGCCAGTCATACGTGGTTACCGATGATCCAATTTATGGTTAAAACCATTCTCTTTGACATTAAAGCTGTTTTATACTTGGATTTATTGATCTTGAACTCGTCATTTTTAACACTGATTACAGTAACAAACTGCTTCTGTCTCTGTGCAGCTGTCCAGCTCAGTGGATCGCTACATCAGTAACTTCCAGATTGTTGATAATCTGAGTGAAAGAGGTTCACTGATCGTTCACCTGTTCAAGGTAAAAACGAAACAACTCTGGATTGGAGTGAGAAATGGTTCGACTTTCAAATGTGTGCCACTTTTTAGCATTTTATGTCATGTATTTTTACAAAATCAGGTGTTTAGTTACAAAAAATTGTTTAAGGGTGCCATGCAGAGCATAAACATTAAAGCACCTCATGACACAATTGTGTCTTTTACCCACTTATTGAGAATTTTAGAGTTCTAATCTCAAGTCTAATCTCAATCTAAAACAAGTGAAGAATACGTCATTTCACTTCTATAAAACACCACAGAAGCGTTAAAATCCAGATTTTTCTGTTTCTCACAGTTTCTAAAGTTCATTCATGAGTTTGTCAGACGCAAACTGTCTGATAGAGTGAGAGATAAAGGTATATCGTTACCATGGTGATTACACTGAGCAACGTGAAACAGCTGAACCATTTCTTCTGATCTTGGTTCACGTTAACTCAGAAAATGTCTTGTTTTAGTACGAGTACCAAAATGTCCCCAGTTAATGACTGAAATTCTATTACTAACTCTGGAGCGCGCTGCAACAAACTCCCTACATTCTGGTCTGTTTGCTTTTGTTGCACTAATGGTTTTTCCACCTTTTAGGTTTCTCACAAAGAGCCAGAGGTCCTAATCTTCAGGCTTCAGCAGCATTTTAAAGTCGGTCTCCTGCAGCCGTCCTCTGTTACTGTCTATGAGTATTATAATCCAGGTGTGGAAACAAAACCTGCTATCATATTACCCCGCTCCATTAACAGTAGGAGACACATACGAGCAGATTTGACCTCCTTTACTTCAAATAAAGAAATTTGGATTCATCATATTGAGAAATGTGTGCCTTTCTTTAAAAATGATGTTGATTCTTTCCCTCCTGCCTGTTTTCAGATCACCGCTGCAGTCGTACTTACTCTCCTAAAGAGGACAAAGAACAACTCACCCGAATCTGCAACGACGACGTCTGTCGCTGCACTCAGGGTAACGTGTGAATGTGGCTGCAGAGGAGAAAACTTGTTTCTGCTCGTGTTGTCTGTTGGTTTACCAGCTGTTTGCTTTTGTCCCACTCAACAGGGGATTGCTGTGTCTCAAAAACTGAAAGTGAAACTTTCCCCAACAAAGAGAGGGAGATATTTGCCTGCAAGAGCTTACATCATGGTACGAACACACAAGTTCAGCAACTGTATCACAGCTTTTGACATCCTTACATTTATGTCTGCAATGCATTTCTGTAGGCTATAGCAAAAATAATGCAGATTTTAAGTGATTGTTACACATTTTATGGTAGCTGTGGCCATGTTTGGTTTACTCTGTGCTTCAGTTTGGCAGGTGATGGTGCTGAGCGTCAACCAGAGCTACTATGACAAGTATGAGATGGAGATTACGCAAGTTATTAAACTGGGTAGGTCACAGCAGTTATTCGGTATTTCTGTAAGACAGACATGCTGGAGTATGTACCAGTGGATGGACAGGTTTCAGTGTTTATACATTTTTTTCTGTGAGGGATCTCTACAGTCTACAAGAATGAGGTTAATTGTTGGTTTTCTTTCCCCACTGCCTCTGCCAGGTGTGGAGGCTGCAGTTGAAGTGGGTCAGAAGAGGGTTTTCATGTCTCATGGAGGCTGCAGAGAAGGACTCAAGCTAAAACAGGGATCTCTGTACCTCATCATTGGTCCTAAAGATGACCAGTGGACTGTTGACCCTGAAACCAACAGGTGAGATGAGCAAGTTAAACCTCCCACTCTCCAAATCCTCAGCATAATAATCAGGATTTCAGTAGAAGTGTCTTTTGGAAGAGCATAAACTTGTTTGTCTTGATTGTCTTCTTTGATCCCGTTACCTTCTTAGGTTTTATTGTAGATCCCCAATTTAGTTTTAGCTGTTTCATTTTCCAAAAATAGTTTGTAAAGTTATTTAGGATTTAGTAGTTATTTGTATCGACCAACTCAAATCATCCTGTCTGGACTAGGGATGCCACGGTAACTGGTGTAGCGGTAAACCTCGGTAAAAATGTTGACAATAATAATAAAAATAAAAAAATATTATATTATCTCGGTGGATTACCGTCGCCGCGGTGACCCTTACCAGCCACCGTCTCATCTGCTGAAGTTGCCGCACATGCGCACTTTGTAGTTTACAACCAAAACTTTCTTGAAGCTAAAGCTGAAATGATTGCTGAAGGAGGAGAAGGCAGCACTCAGGACATCTGTCAGAAGAAGACAAAGTCGGAAATATGGGCATATTTTGGATATTTGAAGAATTCCGAGGGACAGTTGATAGAAGACGGCTATCCTGTTTGCAGCACATGCAGGAAAACGCGTCTGTGAAAAGCAGCAACACTTTGAATCTCATGACACATCTGTGACCATCACCCACAACTCTACAGTCAACGCAAGACAAGTTAACATTAGCATTTTAGCTAAAATGCATGATTTGAGGACTTTGGGTTGAGGGAGAATGCAACGAGTCGCCCTATAGTGCAGCCGCAGCGCCCACTGCCAGTATTTAAACTGTGTCGCAGACACCCCCATATTGAAATGACTCCATGCATTACGGGGCTCCCAGGAGGCAGATGAGAGTTGGTGGCCAAAGCAATAGGTTGACTCTCGCTGCATTATTATGAATTTAACAATGATCACTGCCTGATGACATTTTATCAAATCTGCAAAGCTCACTGGAAGGACAAACTGAGGACAATTATCCTTGTATAGAGGGTTTATTTATTTTCTGGCGCTATAATTAGTAAACGTAATACCCTCGAAACGACCAACAACACATCTTGAAATAATAAATAGGAGTGGGACACAGATTTTTATTTTGTCCCACTGAGGGAAACTGTTTGGGCGTCCATAGGCGGGGCTGGGTAAAGTAGCCAACAACTGTTCTCAAGTAAGAACAGCACTACTTCAACACCTTTTACTCAAGTAAAAGTAGCTGTCCAAGAAATTACTCAAGTACAGGTAAAAAAATGTTAGATTAGAAGGCTACTTGAGTACTGAGTATCATCTGATCTCATATTTTTTTAATTATGTCATCAAACAGACAAAAAAATCAGCCTGGCAAGCCAGACTAAATAAATATATTGTTTAGTCTGGCAATGCTCCATTGAAGGCTCTCGGTCGTGGGGCGGGTTCTATCGTTGTCTTTCAATCGATCCCCACATGCTGACAATGAACAACGTGATGTACTCACTGCAACAGATGTCAGTAAACAAGGCAGTCAGCTGTTGAAAAAGGCGAAAACACATATTTTTTTCTAAATAAAGAACTTAAATACATCTATCTGCTCCTTAATCTACTAAAGCCCAAATCCAAATAGTCCAAAATTCATGTAAAAACCATTTCAAATGAGCTGTCGCCATCTTGTTCCACTCTTTTGCATCATCCCACCCACCAGATGAATAGAGGGCCAAATAAAGCACTGTGATTGGTTCACAAAGCAGATATAGTGCTATGATTGGCCCACCATTATGGACCAATCACAGCTTTCTGTATGTTTGAAACCCCTCTAGAGAGCTGTGATTGGCCGGTCAGAATGCTGCTAGGGGCTGCAGAGGTTCCAGTGGAGCGTTCCTGGACCAAACTTTGCAAAGCAAGAATTTGGTCTAGTTCACTAGGCTAACAAAAAATAAGGAGTTATGGACACATTTTGATATTTTAAATACTAAAGGGGAAAAATGTAAGCAAATAAACAACATAATTACAAAATAACAAATTTTTGGCTAAATTTAGACACAAACTGAAGACATTATTTTCCTGATATAGAGGGTTTATTTAGTTGTCTTAAAATGTAACACATTAAAAAAAAACACAGCAATAATACCGAAATCTGTGGTAATTTTGGTCACAATAACCATGAGGTGACATTTTCACACCGTGACAACCCTAGTCTGGACTGAATTTTTAGAAGTTTGTGCTTGTGACAGGCCTTAGTGTCTGGTGGTAACCAATCACAAAGACATGGAAGTGTCCTCTGGTGAATATGGATAGCTATTATAGTGTTCAGTGTCTGAGGTGTAACTGGGAAAGATCATGTTTTTGTGGAATGAGCAACACAGCAATGCATAGCGACCCCAGAATTATGACAAAATCCTCTGCAATGTTCTCCTGGTGGTATTCTGTCTTAGCCTGGCCTGCCAGACTCCTCCTCTGTTTAATTATGCACAGAGAAAGGGTCTGGGAACTCTCCTATCCAAATAGCCCCACCCCCTGAGAATTCTAACCGAGCCAATCAGCGCTGAGTAGCGTATGTCACACACACCACAATGCCTTTGGTTATTGACCTACTTTTACTATATCTTAGGACTGATTGCCTTTGGTGTTTTATTCTGTGCTTTCCCTGCTTTTATTTTTTTTCATATTTTTAGTAAGATGGTGCTTTTCTTTATCTATTTTTAATCTTGTTTTTAGGTTGTTTGATTTTATTTCTGTTCTTACGGAGCTCCTCTGTTCCCTGCTGTACAGCACTTTGGTCAGCTATTATGCTGTTTTTAAATGCGCCCTATAAATAAACATGGTATGGTATGGTATATAAACATGGCGACTGAAGCGGAGTTTGCTGCGGCTCTTTCCTCTGTTCTAAATGACTTGAATGTCTTTAAAACCACAACTAGAAGCATCAAAAGCCTTTCTTCTAAAAAAATAAGATGTTTGTGCCATTGCCAGATGCCATTTTTGACTACAGCTAAAAAATGACAGTGTTGCGCGGTACAGTTGGCATTTCCGTCTTCTTTCTCATAGTTTTTTTTTAGCTGGCTAGTCCTGCCCCTCATGTGCCTCTCCGCCTGTGAGTTACCAGACTCTTTTTCTGTGCAGAATTAAACAGAGGACGAGTCTGGTAGGCCAGGCTAATTCTGTCTAGGTTAAACTTCAAGTGCTGCCAGATCTGTACCCGTCACAGGTGTCTGACTGCTTCTTGATTTGGGGGTTTTCCAGTAGCACTACTTACCAGATGAGTTTGGGTCAAATTGACAACCTTTTTCCAACAGCGTGGTCTGTTATTTCCCCGATCTATTCAGTACCTGCTAGCTCCCAGCGTGCTGACAGTCTGAAAACATGACGGCAGCGACCGTCCGTCACTGATTTGCTAAGGGTTGTAGTCACTGGTTACTGCCTGCAGCGGTTTCTGGGTTCAGAGTCTGGCAAAAAGCCAGAGACTGAGCAGAATGTTCAACATCACTGCCATTGTTGTGCTGTATTGTGTTTCTGTGTGGCAAACAGATGACCTCACACTGTTTACAGATCAACTCGTGCTGCTTTTGTCTCAAAGATAACAAGTTCTTGAGGGTTGTTCGAAGAATCTTAGTTGTTCCTAGGACTGAACTCTTCTTCTAGCTATTCCCCCACAGGTAACAATGTGGAGCAGGGGTAGATAATTAGACACGGGGAGTATTAAAGTGGTGAATGTGGGCAGAGAGGGTTCAGCAGGAGAGTTGAATTTTAGAGAGATAGACCAGAGAGGGAGAAGTTGGTCCTAAATCTGCTGGTTTTGGTCTGAAGGCTCTTGAAGTGCTTTGAGGAGGATAGCTGGAAAAGACAATGGGAAGGGTTTGAGGGGTCCTTAGTGATGGTGATAATGCAGACATCACTTCTTCTGTGATACAGTTGGCTAAAATGCTCTCAGTTACCAGTGAGACCAGCGTCAGCATGCTGGCTGACTCAACAAATCCTGGCTTAGTAATGAAATTACATTCCAGGGCCAATTGTGTTCAGCTGTGTTAGAAGGAGCCAAACGGTTGTGGTTCCTCACACTGGCCCATGACAGTGTAAAAGCAAAAGGGTAAATTTGAGCAGTTTGTGTGGCTTTGTTCCTTATTTCTTTGGAAAAGTGAAATCACCGAATCGAACAAGTAACTCAAAACAAGAGTGAACACCAACAGGAGAATATTGAAGGGGATTTTGGTAAAAAAAAAAAAATTTGGGAGGCACTACCGACACGTTTAGCTGTGTAGCTCGTCCCACTGTTGCATGACCCATACAAGTTATATCTGGTAAATATGACAAATCAGGATTTCCAATAATATACAAGAATCTTTTTATACAGCTGCTCTTACAGAGATGAAGATGGGAGTTGCTCTTGAACCATTTGTACACTTGACTTACTTAAAAATAATGCTTGGGTTTTTTGTACTTCCTCTTTTTGGGTTAACCAAGACAGCCTAAAAATAGAAAATCAAGCAAACTAACATTTTAGACAATTTATGATTTTGTAGCATTATTAATCAAATTACATTTATTCATAATATTTGTCTGTATCATGTTTTTGACGTTGCATCTTTTTTTATGCCCTTGCTGTTTTTTTTTTATTGTTTTAGATTCATCTACATGCTGGGAAAGGACACCTGGGTGGAGCTCTGGCCTTCAGCTGCAGAATGTTCCAGCAGTCCTAACGTTCAAGCAAAATGCAAAACTCTGAATGATGCTGCAAATGAACTGTCTGTAGATGGCTGCAGGGCGTAGAAATAAACACAAAATCACAGTTCACAGTGACTCATTTGTTATTTTGTAATGAAATATGGAGATTTTTACATTTTTATAGAACTAAAAGTATCTAATTACAGGAATAACATTTAAAACCACATTAAGGATCCTTTTGCATTGATAATGCTTAAATACATTACTAATGTATGAATCAAATATTTATTATTTACAACCAAAATATGAAATATTATATTAAAATATAATGAGACGATCCAACTGATTTGGTCTCTGATGCCAAACACTTTTTCCTGATTCCATATTTCAAGTCCTGTAGTCTAAATGTTGAACGTCAAATTCAATAAGAAAATATAAATAAATAAAATTACTCCTTTCTTTGCTTTGAATCCAGCATCCACCCCTCATCCCCAAAATAAAATAACAAGAAAAGAGAGTTCATAGATACCATTTTAATCATGTTTCATCAAACGGTGATCTTTCTTCTCAGTTTCGCATCACCCGTCAGTCAGAAGCAGACTACCGGTAATTACATCGGAAAATATTCCTCACTTCCTTCCTCTATTTACTTTCACTTTGAGGCAGATGTCAGACAATAAAAGATACAGGAAACTGTTTTGGGCCTCATAATAACACGCTGTTTCCTTCGGCACAACATAATCTGTTTCACTGACTTAATAAAAACCTCAGGCCAAGTAAGTTCGCACATTTCAGTAGTTCTCTTTTTGTCAGTAGAAATACCTCAAAATGATTATCCACAAAGCCTTTAAACAGGATATTGAATGACTGAAGTAAAAAAAATGTCTCAAAGTTTGCTCAAACTTATCTGCTTTCATGGCGGTGCTGATGGAAGTGAATAAAACGGAGTGATCCATTGTAAGTTAGAAATGTTTACATTATTTTAATGCTAATTTAATCTTCAAACTTATATTTTTGTTATTCTTAAAAAGCCAGGACTCTTGATGGCCTAGTGATATGAGTTTACACTCTTGGCTGTGAGGTTGTGGGTTCAAATCCACAGTTGGGTCACGTGGAGATGAAATTTCACCAGTGTGTGATGATAATCAATGAGACTTGAACCTAACTTTAAAATGTTGAAGGGACAAAGAATGTCTGCACAAACTTAAAGGTGTCCTAGAACTCAAAGCAACATTTAACTCATTCACTGCCAGCGGTTTGCTGATCAGAAAAGCCCTTTGCTGCCAGCGTTTTCACAGTTTTTTAAGAGTCACAGAACATTGTGCGCTAGGATGATGTCCGCGCCAAAACTACTAAAACAAAGAGGCGAATCGCCTCTTACATCAGGAAGAGTCCACACATTTCGAACGTTATCCATTCTTTCATAATTCGTTGTCAAATTGTGATCGGCAGAAACTTTTCCGTTTCGCTCCTCGCTTTTTTTACAGCAGCGGCCCGAAAGGATCTCTTAACACAGGGATCTTCTGCTTCCTGATCACGTGACGTATGACGTACGCAGATGAAGATCAGCTTTAGAGGTGGAGAGTTTGTTCTCACAGTGCGGGGGCTCGTTCCAACACCCACACAGTAAAAAAATGCATCTAAAGTCGTCATTGGCAGTGAACAGTTGGATTTAAAATGACGGCTTTTGTCGTCAATGGCAGTGAATGAAATAACTTGTTGTTGAATCCAGGCAGCGTGGGGTGTCTAATGCAGCTGCACCGCCTCTGACCTGCTTTCTTATGGAAATGAGTGATGTTGTAATGACCACAGAAAAATTGTTTGTTCTGGGAAAAGCTGGTAAAACAAACTTTAAGTTTATCTTAGCCTGAGCTACCGCTAACATCCTTGTACAAGAAAAAAAAAAGATTTTTGGAACACCCACGTTCCAGGATGTACTGGGAACATACAGACTTGAATGAATGCTAGACAAAGCCACAGCTTGAGGTTCAATTTAAAAGAGTGTGGTTGCACACTTCCTTGTCCACACACACACACACACACACACACACACACACACACACACACACACACACACACACACACACACATGCTCTGTAGACCGGTCGCACTGCGATAGAGACCTGACCAGACATTCATCTGAGATTGTGGACCACGCTGTACAGTGCAGATGGATCTGCTGCAGCTTCCTGATCTTGTTTCCTGAAGGGGAAAGACGACGTACACCAAAAGGTTACTGCAATTTTTCTACATTTTAAAATGTTTTAGTACTTTTAATTGAGTAGAAAAAAGCTGTTTACCCAGAGTCAGACCTGTTATTAACTAAATTAACAGTAGAATACTCTGAGATCTCAGTTTCCTCCTCCTTAGGTCGACGGGTTCTGAGTGGTTTGATGTTCATGTAGAGATCATCAGACTCGTTCTTTAAAAAGCGCACACTGGCATAATGAAGATCTTGGTTCTCTGACTGACGGGGTTGATGCTGCAGAAACACATTTAGTTACCAGTTGTATGAAACCTGCTGGTCTCACGCTGGTGGAGTTTTAGTTTTAAATGATAAATGACCCGCATTTGTATAGCGCCTCTCAGAGAAAGGACTCCAAAGTGCTTTACACTACAGTGTATCATTCATCCATTCACACACACATTCACACACTGATGGTGATGAGCTACGATGTAGCCACAGCTGCCCTGGGGCACACTGACAGAGGCGAGGCTGCCGAGCACAGGCGCCACCAGTCCCTCCGACCACCACCAGCAGGCAAGGTAGGTTAAGTGTCTTGCCCAAGAACACAACAGCAGAATTCTCTGTCTGGAGCCGGGATCGAACCTGCAACCTTCTGATTACTGGACAACCCGCTCAACCTGTTGAGCTACTGCTGCCTTTTCAGCTTAATGATTCGTTCATCTGTGATCTTGTGTTTATCTTCTCATCACAAATGTGTTGTTGAATTCAGATGTGCTGTGTAAAGTCAACACACTCCAGTAAGACAGGTGTAGAAAGATTATTTAGAGATATGACTATTTAAGTGAATGGTCAGTAAAGTAAATCTGATTTTTTCATTGCTGTAAACTTTCCTCTTTTACCTGTTTAATGATGTTGGGACTTTCTCCAAGTTCAGGTGATGGCACTGAGGATCTTTTTTTCCTTGTTAGGAAGAACAGCCTCTTTAGTTCCCATAGCGGCTGCTAATGTGGCTGATCATCAGGAATTTAAATGAAGGCAAACTCACCTCATCACTAAGAAGACCAGAAGGACTAAAATGATGAAGAGAACAACCATCGTTCCAGCGATCACCATTGTCCTTGAATTTGAGGAAGCTAACATTAAATTAGAGATTATTTAAAGTTAGGAGTGATTACAACATCTGGTGTATGAACGAGGAACAGAAGTGAAGCCTCACCTGCTACAGTCACACGTTTTGAGGAATTATTGAGTCCCACTCTGTTCTGGACTCTACAGTGATATTCTCCACTGTGTTCAGGTTTTATGTTGCTGATGGTGAAGTTCTGTTCTGATGATAACAACTTATCCTCCTTGTACCAGGTGTAGTTAGCTGCTGGGTTAGCATCACTGCTACAGGTCAGATTTACTGAACTGTCCTCCATGATCTCACCAAGGGGACTCACTGACACCAAGGGAGACTTTGGACGATCTTAAAATGACCAATATAAATAGAGATGAACTCAAATCTACCTGCATGATGTAGACTCTGAAACATGAATGCCAGAAGAAGAAAACTTACAGAGGATGTCCACAAACAGACACGAGGAGTTCCGTTGTCCATACTGATTCTCAGACATACAAATGTAGTGTCCTCTGTCCTCAGAGGTGACAGAGGGGACACGATAATCAGATTTGACTCCAATAGGATGTTTGTTATCCTCCTTGTACCAGGTGTAGTTAGCTGCTGGGTTAGCATCACTGCTACAGGTCAGAGTCACAGGTTCACCCTCTTCTATCAGACCAGAGGAACTCAGAGACACAGAGGGACGTCTTGGAGGATCTGAATGTGTCACAAACATTATAATGATTCTACTGTGGATCACAGAGAGGACACGTAATTTATACACTTTAGTTATATGAACATGCAAATATCTACTGAATGGATGTTGTTTAAAAATTCAAGCATCTCTCCCTCAGTATAAATATTACACCTGACTGTGTTTGATCATCCAATGTTTATTTTACTCACATTTTACATCAATAAACAACCTTGATGTTTGTCTTCCAAGATCATTTTCTGCTTCACACCAATACCATCCAGAGTCAGAGGACTTAATGGAGCTGAAGACATGATGTTGTTCTGAACTGAGATGTTTATAGTTTTGGTCTCCATCCTTCTCGTACCAGGTGTATTTAGCTGCTGGGTTAGCATCGCTGCTACAGGTCAGAGTCACTGATCTGTCCTCCATGATCTCACCAGAGGGATTTGTGGAAACAGAGGGAACAGCTGGAGCATCTGGAGAAAACATGAACATAGTTTAAATGTCAGATGAAGATGTGATTACATTAGATCGTGTTTGTTAACTACTTTTATCTAGACTCTATATTTTATAACTGAACTAAAAACATGTACTATTAATAAAATGTCTATTTTCAATGATTATTAATTTAAAAATGCAACCAAAAACGAAAACAAATTTATCTGAAACTAGATGTTTTAAATCTTTTGTAAACAACTATGGTACATTGAAAATGTGAAAAGAAAAAAACAAATACCGGGTAAATAAAATGCAACAATCTAGTTCCAGATTTTTCCATTTTAAAAAAATCATCAAACTTCCTTCTGTCGTCAATCTCAGATGTTAACTTACACACTGGAGGAGATGGGAACTGCTCTAATCCTTCTATGGCACACTGATATCTGCCTGCAGGACTGATCTGATACCAGAGGTATTTTGTGGTTGACCTCCCAAGTTTCTGTCCATTCTTGTACCAGCAGTAAGAAACACGAGCAGGTAGCTGACAGTCACTGTGACATGTCAGATATGTTTTGGCAGAATACACGTTAACCTTCAGACCTGTGTGAGAGCACAAGACTTTAATACAGGATGAACCACACACACACACACACACATGCACACGCGCACGCACACACACACACACAATAGTAGTTTACCTGTAACAGACAAGGTGACTCCAGGTACACCAGTAAAACTCCCACTTTGTTGGTTTGTTATAAATCTGAACTTGAACTCATTTGAGTCACTTTTTGTCACATTAGTGATTAAAAGATGACAGACTTTGTTTCCACACTTTTCATAACTCACACGACCTGAATAGTCGGGATCATCTCTCAGATCCACAGGTTCACCTTCTTCAGTTGTTTTTGTAAACCAGAAATAATTGTTAACTGTAGTTTTAACCCAGCTTCCAGTTACATATTTTGGGTATGAGAAATGGCTGATGATCTTCACTGCTGATCCTTCTAAGGTGCAGATCTGAGGAGGGTTGTAAGTCACCGACCAGTCAGTCTGACATATAACTGGAAAACAGAACAGCAGAAAAATATTATTTGTAAAACTGAGCTAAACAATTTTCTTTTTCTAAAGTAACCAACAGCTTAAGTCATTAAACCGTCTCATTTCTGGTTCAGACAGAATGAACTCATCAGTAAACGATTAAATAGTTTCTCCTCTAAAAGCTCAGGCTATGATTCACTGTGATTAAAGTGGTTTAGAAACAAACAGACGGCAGAAATCTGCTCTGATAAACGGTAAAATCATGTTTAGCTGAAACTAGACTGAACATGTTTCTTTCCTGCTTCATCAGAAACAAAGAAGCAGACAGCAGCAGATGTACGTCACCTGTTGCAGTCAGAAGGACCAGAACTCCACTGGCTGCTCTTCTCATCTTCTAGTCAATGAACCACAAAGATGTGCAGAAAAACCATCAATAGCTATGAACTCTTTGTCTTCAGAGCAGATAGAAGTCGTCCTTGACAAAGTGTAGAACTAAGGAAGAAGTTGTCAAAAGAAAACACCCAGTTTCCTTCCTCTTTTAATTATTTGCATGAAGTTGATCAGCATCACAGCTAAATTGACCACATTTTAAAACTCCAACAGATGAACAGAGCCACTGATATCCTGTTCTTCATCAAGTTTGGTTTTCAGTCGTCACGTCTGTATTTAAAGAGCTTTACAAAATGAAACTAAACAAAGAGAGCTAGTGACACCTCGTGGTACAAACTAAATATCCCTCACTAGTCCCAAATGCTTCTGTTCTGCAGCCAGAGTTTGGTTTGTTCCGGTCACAAGGAGGAACGTCCAGATGGAGAACCCAAATAGAGAAACAAGGCAGAACACCTCAGAACAACCAACACAAGAACTTTATGTACAAACATGCTTCGAGTAGCTTCTGAAAAAACGCTTATAAGACTTAACTTTCTTCAAGATGTTTCACTTCTCATCTGATGATCTTGTGTTCTATTTTCTGTCTGTGTTTCTTTTCTTAAATCAGCATCGTTCAAAGTCTAAAAATAAAATAAAACTCGTGACACAAACTGCAAACATCTGATTTCCTCCTACTTGAGGTCACTGACACAGAGACCAGAAACAGCAACGGGAGATAAATTCAAAATAGGAGCTTTATTAATAAAAGCACTTGAATAAAGACAGATTACATAAATCAATGTGAAGCTTCAAGATGATTTAATAAGGATCTTATAGACACAAAGATATATAATAGAATATAACTCAAGTTGGAGGGGAAGCTCTGAGAAAAATCAAAGAAAATTAAAAAAAGAAATTTTAGATTATTACAATACAAGTGGCTGTTTAGAACCTATATCACACCAGTGAAGCTTCATTATTTCAACCCTAATATCCCTGACGATTGTAATAAACGTGGAAAAGAAAAAGGGACACTTTACCATTGTATGTGGCAATGTGAAGAACTTCAAATCTTTTGGAAACAAATCTGTACAATTATTTCAGATTTAATTAAATGTAAGATGCCCCTTGACTGTAAACTTTGTATCCTGCACATCTATCCAGACAGCTTTGTATGTAACAAAAAGAATAAGAAACTGATTGAATTCTCCTTGTTACAAGCTAAATACGTTATTGCCTTGAAATGGAAGGCCACAGAAAGGCCAGGAGTGAAACAATGGATCAATTCTGGCGCTTGAGAAACTAACAAATATGGCCAGAGGAAAACTCGAGGACTTCAAGGACATCTGGCTGCCCTTTTTGCATCTTCCAGACGCCTTTGACTTTGAAGAAGCGGAGTGAAGTGGGGGGTGGGAGGGAGGGCATTCTTGGGGTGGGTAGGTGTTGGGGGGGGGGGGGGGGGGGTTTGATTTATTTTGTTCTGTTTTAATCTGAAAATCATAATAAACATATTTGGGGAAAAAAAAGAAAAATGTTATGAAGAAAACATGTTTATAAAAACAGATTATGAGAAAATTACATGAAAATATTCAAATCAACAACATTCTTTTAAATCAAACTCATAAAACAACACAATCCTTCTGATTTAGTAACAACAACGTTCTGATGAATAACTTTAAAATGATCATTATGAGTTCTTGTTTTTATTTTTGTCAACAGACGACCACAGATGTCTCATTTTTCTCATCTGTACATTTTCTGTTCAGCGTTTTTCTACAAAAAGGAAACTGAATAATTTGGATTTCACGTCGGGTCTTCCTGCTTGTTTGTTTCATCTTTGTGAGATGAAGTAAGGCTCTCAAAAGTCTCGGGTTCAAATCCCATCTGTTGCATTCTGGTTCTCATTATCAGCACGCAGGTCAGGCTGATGGTAACATTAGAAAAATGTGAAGGTTTAGTTAAATGTTAACGATGCTTTCATAAATGTGTAAGACTCAATAACATCGGCAGAAGTGGAACTTTTCACTCTGTTGTTCTTTTACATTTGAACTGAAGACAAAAATCTTCATTTGAAACCAAAGTTTGCTAGCCTAGTGAACTAGACCAAATTCTTGCTTTGCAAAGAATAATATGTAATAATACATTTATTTAGTCTGGCTTGCCAGGCTAAAAGTTTGCTTCAGTGAAACACCGCAGGGTGTGTTTCATCACTAGAAGCTCTCGCCTCCAGCATCTCCTTAGGTTCCTTTGAGTCGGGTTTGAAGCCGATTGTTTTCTTCTTCCTGGTTTAAAGTTAAGGTTTCCGGGGATTAAAATTACAAACATGACAGCTAAAAATCTGAGAAAGTTCAAAAAACAAGGATCTAACTGGTGGACTTTGGTGGTTTTACCTCATCCAAAGGTTGAAGACAAGCAGAAGAACTGGCAGCAGAGCAACTAGGATCATTTTGGCGATGTTCATCGTCTGCAGTGGTAGCCCTAAAACATTAAAGAAACGAATCGTTTTAACACCAGATGTGTTTATTTACCATTAAATGTTTTAAACTACATTTACAGAATCACAAGGACGAAATTTCAGGGGATTTTTACAAAACTAACAAATGTGACCCAATTTGAATTATTATAAATAGCATGAGGAGCTCTGATTTGAGTTAAAACAGCTTTTCTAATAAAGTTTTGGGTCATATTATCATTTTTTAACCCCTCATCTAAACACTGAATCTGTGTTGGAGACATCGACTGACCTTCCTAATAAAATCCAGTCACTTAAAGGTCATGCCAAATGGTGTTTCCATGGAGATCAGACTTTGTTCCAGTAACATGAGCTTTACTCTGACATGATCCTGTCCATGTTGAAGTATCATAACCTGTGATGGGATTCTGAATAGAGGAACTGTTGGTGTTTGTTGTTACTTACCTCCACAAACGGTCAGCTGGATGGTGGAGTGATGACTTCCAATCCTGTTCTGGACTCTACAGTGATATTCTCCACCGTGTTCAGGTTTTATGTTGCTGATGGTGAAGTTCTGTTCTGATGATAACAACTTATCCTCCTTGTACCAGGTGTAGTTAGCTGCTGGGTTAGCATCACTGCTACAGGTCAGAGTCACTGAACTGTCCTCCAAGATCTCAGCAGGGGGACTCACCGACACCAAGGGAGACTTTGGACCATCTTTAAACAAACAATATAAATAGAGATGAACTCAAATCTAGCTGCATGATGTAGACTCTGAAACATGAATGCCAGAAGAAGAAAACTTACAGAAGATGTCCACAAACAGAGACGAGGAGTTCTGTTGTCCATACTGATTCTCAGACATACAAATGTAGTGTCCTCTGTCCTCAGAGGTGACAGAGGGGACACGATATTCAGATTTGACTCCAATAGGATGTTTGTTATCCTCCTTGTACCAGGTGTAGTTAGCTGCTGGGTTAGCATCACTGCTACAGGTCAGAGTCACAGGTTCACCCTCTTCTATCAGACCAGAGGGACTCAGAGACACAGAGGGACGTCTTGGAGGATCTGAATGTGTCACAAACATTATAATGATTCTACTGTGGATCACAGAGAGGACACGTAATTTATACACTTTAGTTATATGAACATGCAAATATCTACTGAATGGATGTTGTTTAAAAATTCAAGCATCTCTCCCTCAGTATAAATATTACACCTGATTGTGTTTGATCATCCAATGTTTATTTTACTCACATTTTACATCAATAAACAACCTTGATGTTTGTCTTCCAAGATCATTTTCTGCTTCACACCAATACCATCCAGAGTCAGAGGACTTAATGGAGCTGAAGACATGATGTTGTTCTGAACTGAGATGTTTATAGTTTTGGTCTCCATCCTTCTCATACCAGGTGTATTTAGCTGCTGGGTTAGCATCACTGCTACAGGTCAGAGTCACTGATCTGTCCTCCTAAATTTTGATTTAATAATTAAAACAAAGGGACACAGTTTAAGACTGAGCTGTTACAGGGCAGAATAGTCATTCAAAGGCTAATGAATACATGAAGGGTTTCAATTTTGATTTAAAAGTTAGAGTTGGGGCAAATTTGAGTTCATAAGGAAGCTGATTCCATCTGTGAGCAGCATTGTAGCTAAACACAGCTTCACCATGTTTGGTTCTGACCCGGGGTTCTACCAGCTGACTGTTTTCTAAGGATCTTAGAGCCCTGCTGGGCGTGTATATACAGGAAGGAGATCCAACATGTATTTTGGCCATTTTGGCCCCATGCCATTGAGTGATTTATAAACTAGTAGAAGCACTTTGAAATCAATTCTGTAGTTTACTGGTAACCAGTGTAGAGATTTAAGAACAGGAGTGATGTGTTCGGTTCTCTTGGTTCTTGTTAAGACTCTAGCAGCATCATTCTGAATAAGCTGCAGTTGCTTCACAGCTTTTTGGGGAAGACCAGACAAAAGACCATTGCAGTTGTCCAGCCTGCTGGAGATGAACGCCTGAATAAGTTTCTCTTGGTCTGGTCTGGACATGTTGAAGATGAAGATGATAAAACCAGCTCAGGTTTCTTATGCAGCCCCACTAACATGCTTGACCAAGCAGTAAAACATGTCCCCCCATTCAACCAACAAAAAAAAATACAGAAATATAATTTTACTTACTGATAAAAAGAAGTGAAAGCTGCTTGAATTATCTGTTAACAGTCAATTCCCACAGCTTGCTCTCTGTGTCCAAATGATTCCATGATTAACATCCAAACACAAACATACACACAGAGGACACAACCAAAGTTCAGAGAGTCAAAATAACCGAACATTTATTGACGTGAGGCCGAGGCCTTGGCTCTTTCCCCAGAGCTTGCGCTGAAGTCACGTGGCTCAGATGCTCATTAATTATTCAGAATTTTAAGCATTTAATTACACTTAAACAGAAGAGTTACAAAAAAACTCACCCCCCGTCAGAGTTGTCATGAATGTAAACTAGATCTAGTACATCTAATATGTTTATTTCAACCAGGCTGTAAACATGTTTATTGCTGTGAATTTGGCATGTTTAACATTGAAGTCAATGAGGATTTGCCCACTTCTGGTGCCAGCCTCTAGCGGAGAGTGGAATTGCAATTTTTGTCACTTCCGTGACGGCTTCAAAAACGAGTAGGACCTGAACTAACGACCAAAATGGCCCCTTGGACTGAACTTATAGAGCATCTGAGAACCGGACTGTGTTTGCAGGGATGTGAACTTTATCATTTCTTAAATTTCTCTAAAGTAAACCGTCATTGGTAAGTTACAACATTAAAAATGTGTTCACAATCCTGTACAAACCACTTGATGGCGCCCGAGTAGAAATCTGGAGCTGCCTTTGTTCTCTAACACGTCCTCTAGTGTGACATAAAAGCCCTCCACCACTGCAAAATAACCATTGAACTCATCTCTCATCAACATGTCTGGAAGAGGCAAGGGAGGTAAAGGACTCGGAAAAGGAGGCGCAAAGCGTCACCGAAAGGTTCTCCGTGATAACATCCAGGGTATTACCAAGCCCGCCATCCGGCGTCTGGCTCGCCGTGGTGGAGTCAAACGTATCTCCGGTCTGATCTACGAGGAGACTCGCGGAGTGCTCAAGGTGTTCCTGGAGAACGTTATCCGTGACGCAGTCACCTACACCGAGCATGCCAAGAGGAAGACCGTGACCGCCATGGATGTGGTTTATGCTCTGAAGAGGCAGGGACGTACCCTGTACGGATTCGGAGGTTAAATACGACTTCCTTTCAATCACCAAAGGCTCTTTTCAGGGCCACCCAATCATTACTAATGAGCAAAATATTTCTTCTCGTACAATCAAAGTGTTAACGAAGCGTTATTGAAGGCTTGTGACTTAATTTTACACTGACCTTATGCATGTCGGGGGGTCGCACTTCTGGCTATTTTCACAACATTTGTGATAATTCTTCATAGGTAAATTATGCAACATAATGTTATGCCCGTGATTTTTTTATCTTTCCTTCTAAAAACAAAGATACAGTAAAAACATTCTTGTTCACTCTTTTGCAGCAAGCTTATTTATAATTTTAGAAATTTATGTAAAAAGATGTAATCTCACTCAGTTAAACCATCTTTTGTTTGAGGTACTTTAAACCTCATAATGGACAAGAAGTTCTGTGGATTTGGAAATATTTGCTCTTGACTGTCTAAGGAAAACAGAATATTTCAGGAGAACATAATTTCCCACAACATCCGTTTCACATGGATCACGGAACGCATCGCTCGATGTAACGAGCTGGCTGCCGCTACCAGCTTATACGGATATAGAACGACCACTGGCTGATCGTTAAGTGCGAATGAAGGAGTGTTCGTGAGCCGGGGACATGCTGGAGATCAAGTAAAAATGCTGACTTATCCACCAGCTAATCAGTGTTGGGCAAGTTACTTCAAAACTGTAATGCATTATTTATTACTTGTTACCCTCATTTTAAAGTAATTCATTCCATTACAATATTAATGATTTTAAAATGTAAGGCATTACACTACTTTTGCATTACTTTAAGTTACTTTCACCAGTACAACTTCAATATGAATCTGGTCATGTGACGCTCAGTGAGCTCATGACATATATGTGGAAGGTGATGTGGTGTCTGAGCTAGGATTGCTGTTAAAAACAGTCAGATATAATAACAGTGCTTTAAAATGATTGTTTATTAAATAAAAGCAACAACAATCTGTACTCTCAGCACGCTGCCATCTTATATTAACTGATCAGGGAGTGAGGTGGTGGGGGCTCCAAGCCTATTTGCCTTGGTCCCCAAATGCCTTGATACGGCCCTGGATGTGGGACTGACTTCTGGGGTGATCTGATTCTATCACATGTATAAATATTAAATGCTTATATATTATTGCTTTTCACTGGTAAAAATGTGTATTGGGCATAAATCTACCTACTTTTTTCTTTTCTTCTTGATTTTATTTGAATAATTTCCTGCCCTTTCTCTCTCTAACCTTCCTGCATGCTGCATGTTTTCTCCGTCTTCCAGAAAAAACTGTTTCCTAGACTTCCTACTTTCTAACTGTCAGCCAAAGGGATCTTCACATGCGCGACGCTCCAGCAGTAATGAGTTGAAATCACCGGGGCACAGATTATGAACTCAGCTGAGGCAAAGCACGTCAGAAAAGCACAAAATACCAGAGAATATGCGCTGATATGAACGATCGCAAGTGAATTATTTTGTTTTAGTGGAGCGATTTTGTGAATGTTGCAGCGGCCGCGTGCAGCTGCAGCTGAGCCGTTACCGCTGCGTCCTCTCTGCCCGCAAAGCTGAGTCCATAAATGACGCAATATATGCAGATCTTTCTTCGGGTTTCCCGCAATTTGAATTTTTAAGGAACACATCTTGATTCTGGGTTTAAAAATGCATTGTAATTACCGCGTTACTGACAATTGTACCGAGTAAATATTACCATTTTCTTTCCCTGTAATGCCTTACATTACCACATTACAGCAAAAAGCAATGCATTACAGTAATTAATTACTTTTGTACCGCATTACTCTCAACACTGCAGCTAATCGTGGCTCACAGCTGGCGTGGTGGAGATGGGCATCACGAGCTACCGAGCAACTAGTTAGCCATGGCTAGAGCCGGGGAGATGCTATGTGTAAACACCCACGGATTACCAGCAAAAGAGTCTAAAGGCAACGTTTGAGAAGAAGCCCTCTGTGTCGGAGCGTCTCTAACGCGTGGAGAACTACATCGCCATTAGTAAAGTGTTGTGGAGATAATGTAAATAACACTGATTTAGCTATTAGCTAGCGCTGGAGCGTGTTGAGCGAGACGGCAGGCTGCAGGAAGAGAATAGCCTGACTAAATAAATGTATTATTTAGTCTGGCAATTAGGGCTGGGCGATATGGCAAAAATAGAATATCACAATTTTTCCAATATTTTATCACGATTTCGATTTTATCACATTTTATCACAGCAGAGCTGTGAATCGTGATAAAACGGTCTCTCAAAAATGACAGACCGTCAGATGTGTAGATCGTAAAACGGTCTAAAATCGTCATATCGCCCAGCCCTACTGGCAACGCTCCATTGATGGCTCTCTGTTGTGGGGCGGGTTCTATTGTTGTCTTTCAAATGATCTCCGCATTCCACTGGACAATGAATGTGACATACTCTTGTTTCACTCTGTTGCATCGTCCCACCCACCAGGCATATAGAGTGCCCTGATTGGCCCACAAAGCTGATAAAGCTCTGTGATTTGTTCACTAAGCAGATAGAGCACTATGATTGGCCCACCATTATGGACCAATCACAGCTCTTTATGTGTTTGAAACCCCTCTAGAGAGCTGTGATTGGCCAGCCAGAGTCTGGGTAGGAGCTGCGGAGGTTCCAATGGAGCGTGCCTAGACACTTTGCAAAGCAAGAATTTGGTCTAGTTCACTAGGCTAGGAAGAGAAGAGACTTGAGTAGGACTTTGGAACGGACACATTGGGACCGGGTTGAGACACTAATCGGAGACTAGCGTCCAGATAATAGCGGGCGGGGGTCTGAAAATATGCGGCTTCCTTGTGTTGGACATGATGAGGAACTGACAAATCGTATGTGCCTTTTGATTTAATTGTTTCTTGTTAAAATTAACAAGTACAGCAACGTGTTGCTATTCTTTTCTATTTGTTAGTTGAATTGGCAGACTCCATGCTTCCAGGGTGCACTGCTGCCCTCTGCTGGTTTTTTCAGGTTACAGTCATAGTCCAAACATGAAGCTCGTTTGTCCCTAAACAGCTACTGTATTTTAAGATGGTTGATGACCATGGAGCCTCGACCACAGTTTAAAACATAACATTTCAAGTTGAGAGGATTATTTAGAATTGATGTTGGTGAGAAATATTAGTGAAAAAGGACAAGTTTGTGAACTGGAAACACAGGATTTGATAGTAAACAGGTAAAAATATCACACACTGTGCCTTTAAATCTAAATCAGAATGATACATCTAAATGCTAAGTGTAAATGTCAAATCTAAATGCAAGTCTAAATCTAAATGTTAATTATGAACCTAAATTTAGATGCTTGTGTGTTTGTTAAATCTAAATGTTAAATATAAATCTAAATGTAAAAGTTAAATTTAAATGTTAAATATAAAGCTAAATATAAATCTTAATGTTAAATTTAAATGGTAAATATAAATCTGTTAGATCTAAATGTTAAATCTAAAGCCCCGAGCTAAACATTTCTGCTATTTGCACATTTGCCATATATGGAATGTTATGATTTAACATCCTGATTTAGGCCCAATCTCAATACTCAGGCCTCATCACATAATTAGATTGTCTCATGTAATTCATAAACTTCAAAAGGCAGTGATAACATTCCAGCATAATCTTATAGTATTGTCTGAATTAAATGCAAGCTTGGAGTTATATTTGTTGGAAATCAGCTACTACAAAAGATTTTAGCTCTATAGGAAGAGTGTGTGGCTCTTAAAAGAGCCGTTGTGGGGCTGGTAGCAGCGGTGAGAGGCAGCAGCTTTACTTGGTCTTAGCGGGCTTCTCAGTCTTCTTGGGCAGCAGCACAGCCTGGATGTTGGGCAGCACACCACCCTGAGCGATGGTGACTCCACCCAGCAGCTTGTTGAGCTCCTCGTCGTTGCGGACGGCCAGCTGCAGGTGACGGGGGATGATACGAGTCTTCTTGTTATCACGAGCAGCGTTTCCAGCCAGCTCCAGGATCTCAGCAGTCAGATACTCCAGCACTGCAGCCAAGTAGACCGGGGCGCCGGCACCGACACGCTGAGCATAGTTGCCTTTACGCAGCAGCCTGTGAACACGACCTACTGGGAACTGGAGCCCGGCACGGGAGGAGCGGGTCTTGGCCTTAGCTCTGGCCTTGCCTCCGGTTTTACCACGCCCACTCATTGTTATAGTTAGTTTATCGAGGAGAAGTACGAGAAAGAATGTCTATCTGAAGCCAAAAACCTCCTTATATGTCCGCACAGCGGAGAGAAAGTGGCGGCAGCCAATCGTGATAGCTGGAGCGGAGGGGGAGAGTCTGAGCGGCTTTTTCAACACAGCGTGTCTCCAATAAGCAGCCAGCATTCAGGCGGGGAGCCGCTGCTCTGGGCGGGGCTGAGCTGCAGGAGGAGACGGTCACCAATCAGGAGCTGAAGCCGTGAAGCAGCGCCACCGTCCCGCTGTTTAAGAGCAGCGACTCTCGGCTGTTTCAACTTATCTTTTTCTCCGCTCCAGAGAAACTATTTAGCATGGCTAGAACCAAGCAGACCGCTCGTAAATCCACCGGTGGCAAAGCCCCCAGAAAGCAGCTGGCCACCAAGGCAGCTAGGAAGAGCGCTCCCGCCACCGGAGGCGTTAAGAAGCCTCACCGTTACAGGCCCGGCACCGTGGCTCTCAGAGAGATCCGTCGTTACCAGAAATCCACTGAGCTGCTCATCCGCAAGCTGCCCTTCCAGCGCCTAGTCCGAGAAATCGCTCAGGACTTCAAGACCGACTTGCGCTTCCAGAGCTCGGCTGTCATGGCTCTGCAGGAGGCCAGCGAGGCTTATCTGGTGGGGCTCTTCGAGGACACCAACCTGTGCGCCATCCACGCAAAGAGGGTCACCATCATGCCTAAAGACATCCAGCTGGCCCGCCGCATCCGCGGAGAGCGAGCATAAAGTCCCACGGCTTACCAAGACACAAAGGCTCTTTTAAGAGCCACCGACCACTTCATTACAGAGCTTTATTCTTCAGTTAATATATGGGCGTTAAGTCATACTGTTATACGCTGTCTCTAGAATACAGTTGATAAAACTTACACTTCTAGCTTTGGAGTAATTGTAGGAAACTCAACATATGGTGAATTTTCATTACAGCAAATTGTACGAAAGAATAAATGTAAAGTATAAATATTTATAGATGTGATCCATTCTTTTACAGTTATCACGTTTTAGAATAATGTAAGACTAAGCTGCTAAACATGCGATTTTTTTGTGTTGGGGGATTTACAGAGCAAACTACATTTTACAGATTACTTATCTTTTGCACAGTACTTACTGACATTGAGTGGAACTGTTTGCTACATCCTCAAATTCAACGCTTTTTCATTTATGTAACTTATCATTGGTTTCACAGAAATATTTTGTTGCATATTAAATTAAAACTACTGCGATAGGCCATTTATATAGCTGAAAACTTGAAAGAACCACAAAATTAAGATAGTTCAGTTGTTTTCAGCTTGTATCCCACATCAGACAATGTCTGTATAAAATCTAAAAGGGTTAATGTCAAGCAAAGTAGCTGCACTTCTGTTGAAAATAAACTTAATTTAGTTATTTGGCTTTTTAAGAATGACTAGAAAGGCTGAAACAAATCCCACCCACAGATGAATTCAACCAATCACAGGCGGGAGATGGAGCAGTGAAATTAGTTTCTAGCTTGTATAAAGCTCTTTCCCGTAGCCCTAGCAGTTACAGTTGTCTGATTAGTCGGTTACAAGATGCCTGAACCTGCTAAGTCTGCCCCCAAGAAGGGTTCCAAGAAAGCGGTGACTAAAACCGCCGGGAAAGGAGGAAAGAAAAGAAAGAGGACTAGGAAGGAGAGCTACGCCATCTACGTTTACAAGGTGCTGAAGCAGGTGCACCCCGACACCGGGATCTCCTCCAAGGCCATGAGCATCATGAACTCGTTCGTGAACGACATATTTGAGCGCATCGCTTCTGAGGCTTCTCGTTTGGCCCACTACAACAAGCGCTCCACCATCACCTCCAGGGAGATCCAGACCGCTGTCCGCCTCCTTCTGCCCGGTGAGCTGGCCAAGCACGCTGTGTCTGAGGGCACCAAAGCTGTCACAAGTACACCAGCTCTAAGTAAACTCCTTCACAAACCCAAAGGCTCTTTTAAGAGCCACCCACATATTTTAGTGAGAAGTTATCCTATTGCTGAATTTTCTACCTCATACCCATCGTGCATATCACAAGCAGGCTTGAAGCACACCTCACCTCCAGCACTGCAACCTCACCAGGGTTAAAAAAAATCTGATGTTGCATTTCTAAATAAAATGAGCTTTAATGACCACCTTCAGTATTCGATGGTTCATTACTGATATTGTCTGATTCTGCAACTCCTCTTTTGACTTAAAATACACGTCCTCACTCAAGCTAATAAAGATCTGATGTGGCATTTCAAAATAAATGTGCAATCAAATTTGGCTATAAGGACAATTTTCCCCATATTCAATGGTTTATTTCTCAAAAACTGATTCTGCAACATCATTCCACTTCAGTATTACAGTATACATTGAGTACTACATCCTCACCGGCTTTCATAAAGATCTGATGTGGCATTTCAAAAAGTGCAATCAACGTTGTCAATGACAATTTTCACCACATTCAATGGTTTTTTCTCAATGTTTGATTCCGCAACATCACTCCACTTTTGTCCTAAAGTACACATCGAGTACATCCTCCCTGACTTTCATAAATATCTGATGTGGCATTTCAAAATAAAGTGCAATCAAATTCGACTATAAAGACTTTTCACCGACAGGCGGATTGGTTCGGCGTCTGCAGTGATGCGGACGCTGAGCCGATCTGTCGTGGGGAAGAGGGAGCTGAGCCAGAAAGCCAGGCTCTCGATTTACCGGTCGATCTACGTCCCAATCCTCACCTATGGTCATGAGCTTTGGGTAATGACCGAAAGAACGAGATCGCGGATACAAGCGGCCGAAATGAGTTTCCTCCGTAGGGTGGCCGGGCTCAGCCTTAGAGATAGGGTGAGGAGCTCGGACATTCGGGAGGGACTCGGAGTAGAACCGCTGCTCCTCCGGATCGAAAGGAGCCAGTTGAGGTGGTTTGGGCATCTGGTCAGGATGCCTCCTGGACGCCTCCCCGGGGAGGTGTTTCGGGCATGTCCTGCCGGCAGAAGGCCCCCGGGTCGACCCAGGACACGTTGGAGAGGTTACATCTCCAATCTGGTCCGGGAACGCCTTGGGGTCCTGCCGGAGGAGCTGGTGGACAAGGCCGGGGAGAGGACGGCCTGGAGCTCCCTAGTTGGGATGCTGCCCCCGCGACCCGGACCCGGATAAGCGGAGGAAGACGAGACGACGAGACTTTTCACCATATTAAATGTTTTTTTTCTCAATAACTGTCTGATTCCGCAACATAATTCTATGGCAGTATTGCAGTACACATCGAGTACTACATTATCCCCGACTTTCATAAAGATTGGATGTGGCATTTCAAAAGAAAGTGCAATCAAATATCAATAATTACAATTTTCACTATATTTAAAGGTTAATTTCTCAAAAAATGTCCGATTCTGCAACATCACACCACTTTTGTCTTAAAGTACACATCAAGTGATCACATCTTCAACAGAGTTCATAAAGATCTGATGTGGCATTTTAAAACAAAGTTCAATCAAAGCTGTCAATAATGACAATATTCACTACGTTCAATGCTTAATTTTTGTGTTATACAAGACATACGCCACAGAACCAGACAAGTAAGAAAACGGGAGTTTCCCCCCGAAGAGGGAACAAAAGACCCCAGATGATCTTCTACATAAACACATGAGCCAAGGTGTGAGGGTGGGTGTGGGTCTTATTCAGCCAGAGTTTCGGGTGAGCTCATTGTGAAGCCTGGCCCCACCCTATCATGTGAATTCCTGAGGTCAGAAGGCCCAGGATATGCGTGGGCATTGAGGCATCTGGGAAGGGATCTCAAAACTGGATTATAGATGGGGGGGGGGGGGGGGGGGGGGAAACTCCCACTGGGTTTGAATCTGGGACTCTCCACCATTTGACCTTAGAACTGAAGAAGCCTCTCGGATGAGAGGTGAAACGTCTTCAAGCAACTCAAAGAAGTCCAGACACTTTTCTTTCAAAGCTCCTTAGACTACAATGACCTGGATGACTGAGAACCTTCACAGACATGTATGTATAATAGAAATAAAAATATATTAGAATTAGTGTAACTCACTGTGATCCAAACAATAAATCAGCCATAGCTGATTAGCAATCATGAAATGAGGTCTGGGAGTTTTAAGTTTCATTCTTTTATTACTTTTTTCTTAGATCTGTTAAAAAGTCACTATGGCAGCTTGTGTGTCTTCAACATATGCTACACAAAGCAGCAAGTGTAAGTACCAAGTATCTGTCTTGATCACTTCATGTATGGTTTTGTACTTTAAACAGCTAGGCCAAACCTGGTATTTTTTTTCTCCATAGACATTTGGATCATTGGAGACAGCTACGTGAGGCGTGGTGCCCAGAGAGCTGCAGAGACCCTCTGAGACAACCTTGGCCTCCTTGACATCTGTGTCTCCTGGTTCGGTTGGGGCAGACTGAGGTGAAAAGACCTTCTCCCTTTCTTTTTCCACTCCATGCGAGGAAGAGCAGCTCCAGGTGTCCTCATCATTCACGGTGGTGGCAATGACATGGGGGTGGTCAGCAGTGTGAAGCTGGTCAACAAGGTGAAGGAGGACCTGCACCGGCTTCACCTTCTACACTCTCATATGATGATCATCATGTCATCCATCACCCAAAGGTGTAACTGGAGGGCAGGTGTAAAACCTGCTAAAATTGAGAATGCAAGGAGGTTTGTCAACAGTGTTATGGCTACACTTACTGTATTTCTGGCTTAAATGATGCCATTGTTGTGCATCCTCACATCAGACATGACAGTCCAGAGACATTTTTGTCAGACAAAGTTCATTTCACAAATAGGGGAAATTATATTTTTCTAACTAATATTGCCGATTGGCTTAATGGCCAGCTCCAAAAGCAGTGAAAGACTTCCAGGTGGGAGTCTCGCTCTTTTGAATTTGGCCTTTAGAACAGGTTTATTTTCAGTCAAACTGGATAAACATATCCCTGACTGTTATAGCTAATGTGTTGTTGATATAATTTATCTATAGCCATAACACTTTTGACAGCTCTGTTCTTCCTTCACAACCCAATGTCCCACTCACTCTGCAGCTCTCTGGGCTCCTTTTATTATTTAAGATTTTTTAAATGTACCGACACTTTGTGTCCTGTTATTTTTATAAAATCTAATGTAAAAAATAAATGTTTTTGCTCAATTACTGGAATCTCTTTGGTTAAGACAAAAAAGGAGGGAAGAATCATATATGTCAAGTTATTTCTACAACAGGCCCATTTTAAGTCCAACAGTTTCTTAGCAGCCAATAGAAATGTGTTATTTACTAACTTTACTTGGTTTAAAAATCTTACTTAAATAAACCTTAGAGGCTGCCGTATTGCAAAACCCAATCATACTTGTTATGTAAATATTAGCTTTGTAGATATTTGCACATATTTTTTACAGATATATATTTGTGTGCAAAAAAAACCATAAACTTAAATAATTTGTCATTCTTTATTGAAAAACAACAAAATACAGGTACAGAAAGTGTGAGAAAACGATAATGTGAAAGTATTGCTCTATTATTTATCTTTAAATAGAAAAACTCTAAAAATGTCCTGTACAGCAACATGACAGAAGAATGGTGGTCTGTCTGTCAGGATGAGCTGAACAGATTTGCTCTATCACGAGGAGCCATTTGTGTACGAGTTTATGTTATTGTAATAGTGGTTTGGGTTATGTATCACCACATTAGCATGTAAATGCTGAACCAATCTGGAATAAAGAGGGTTGATAGAGGACAAACAAGTAAATAAGAGAGAAACATAAAAACAACTAGGAAACCAACATAAAAAGCAGCAACCAGCTGCTGCACCTGTAAAGAAACATTTCCAAGAATCATCAAGAAAACGTGGGATGAACACCTATAAACATGTAAACCATGAACAACAAGCATGTGTTCGTGCGTTTGCTGGGATGTGAAGTGTGAGACCTCCAAGGAACAGCACTCTGGAACCGCCCCAAGCACCAGGAAACCAGCAGCCACCACAGAGCACAGAACCAACTCAGACTACCTCCCAGACAGCCAAGCTCCTTGCTACAGTGACTCAGCAAGGTCACATCCAGAACCGGGCTGACACAGGTCATGGGCCACAGGAATCACACAGCAATTCCACCTGAAACAGAATCATTAAAATTAGAATCAAATGGTAAATGGTAAATGGCCTGTATTTGATATAACGCCTTCTAGAGTCCTGGAACCCCCCAAGGCGCTTTTCAACACAACCAGTCATTCACCCATTCACACACACATTCACACACTGGTGGGGATGAGCTACAATGTAGCCACAGCTGCCCTGGGGCGCACTGACAGAGGTGAGGCTGCCGAGCACTGGCGCCACCAGTCCCTCCGACCACCACCAGCAGGCAACGTGGGTTAAGTGTCTTGCCCAAGGACACAATGACAGCGACAGACTGAGCGGGGCTCGAACCCGCAACCTTCCGATTACGGGGCGAGCACTTAACTCCTGTGCCACCGTCGCCCAAATACAACTGTTGTTCAATATGACATAACTGTCATGATTATGAGACAGACTAAACAGACTTTTAGCCAAACTGAAAAAATGTTGCCAGAAAAAATATTTGTGCTGCTGTCATTGAAAAGATATAAATAAAAGTTTCTAAAGGTTATCCTAGGTCAAACCCCCTTTCAAACAAAAGTGTTTACCTGCAGTCACACACCTGGCATGAATGAGTGAGGTATCTGCATGGTAATTCAAATTGAATTTGAATGAAGGCAACTGGAGTTCTTTGGTTTCCTGAATATAGGAGGGTCGATCTTATTGTAGTTGTCTATTGTTGTTTGGCAAGCAGAAACTGTCACCTGCAAAACACCTCCTCCCCACCTCCTCATGGTTCGTTTGCATCGTTATCCTCTGTTGTGTGGGAGTCGTTGTGTAGATGCAGAAAGGTGTGATGTCGTGTTACTTTCTTGTAAATATGTATATAGTGTTTCTTTTTTGTTCATGCATGAGTTACAGTTATTACATTTATTTTTCATATTATTGCTGTATTATTATTATTATTATGTTGCAGTAGGTACCTAAGTTAAGTTGCCCCCCCCCCCCCCCCCCCTCTTCAAATCTAACAAAACTGGTGTCAAACATTTGTGCTGCAATAT